ACTGGCGCCCGACCCCTTAAAATTATTTTTTTAGTCATATGACTATCACTGTTTAGTCATGTGACTAAAAACTCTCAAGTTTTGGGGGACATTTATTTTAGACTTTTAATCATGTTAAATTTTTTTTTAAGCGTGTTTTTTTTTAAAGTATTTATTATTATTTGTACTTGTTAGTCTTGACAGATCAGGAAGTGAGTTGAAACATGTGGGGGGAAAAAAAAAGCGTGAGGCGCCCATGAAATACAAACACGTGAAAAGTCAGTGGTGACATTTCTGTGATAAAAATAGTGTTGCCATTGTTGATTGTTTCCGGGAACAAGTAACCGAGCATAATGAAACATCGTAGAGAAAACCCGACGTCTCTATCACTTTCCGTTCCTGAGTTATCCGCCTAAGGGCTATAGGCCTACCTAATATTTTTTTCTAGGTCAGACGGAATGACCGTATCAAATTTGGTTGTGGGCCGTTGTTTGGTTTTTCTGTGATCAATCGACCCATTAACAAATAAACGAACATAGTCATAGTCACCGTGAGCTTAATATAGTAGATACCATTACTGATTCTACATGATCTGATTAAGAAATACTCGGTGCAGGTCCGGGGGTGGAGGTCAATACCGAGTTTACTGCACGGGGTGACACCAAACCCAGTGAAGCCTCCTCTGGCTCAGTGAGTCTCGTCTGCTTGGACCAAACTGAGAACAAAAACAAAACCATACTTCTTCTTATATTCGAGGTGCCCACGATCAATTTGTTGATCATTCTGGCTCCTAGTTTTAAATTCAGAGTTTGCCTTCTCTTAGACAGGTCCAAGGCTAACGAGTCCCATCCACCCGGGTTGCTTGGGATGGCTTTGGTGTATCCATTAATTTAAAAACAATTATTTTATTCTTAAATTTACAATTATGTGGAGGGAGTTATGGTTTTAGAAATAATATTTTGTGTAAGAGTAAGCTTTTTAATATTAAAACAATTTTGGCATAAATATGTATTTTCTCACATTGACTATCACTATTTAGTTGAATTTTTTTAATAAACCGATAGATGAATTATATAATATGAATTATATTAGTTACTTTTCTTTTGGTAGTTAGTTTTAAAATAATTATAGTTATTTACTTTTACTGTTCATGATTTAAGACTAACATAATTGTTAACAATTTTTTGTAGGAGGAAAATCCAAAGTTTCGACACAGTCTCTACTCTGGAACAAACATCTTTGTAGTTTGTTTCTCTGTGATTCGTCCGGAATCCTTAAATCATGTGGAAGAAGTATGGCTCCCAGAGATTCGAACCTATGCCCCAAAGACACCTTTTATACTTGTTGGGGCTCAGGCAGACTTGAGGTAGATTAAGAAATATATTTAGTAAGCTGATTAGAAGCCGATGCCACATTTGGTTCTTGGCAAATTAAAAGTTTTGAAGGAGCATGTACAAATATATAATATGTATAGGAGCAGTATTTCAGGAAATCTTTTCTTTGTTGCATATAAAATGTCAGTTCAAAAAAGTATTTAATGACTGACACTGCAAAGACAGCCTGTTGGTCATAGTCTTATTTCTTTTCTAATGCAACTTTAGATAATAATAATAGTATTAATAGAGTCAAATGTCCAGTGGAAGATGTATTAAAAAAACTAAAATTGAGACAATGACATGTCTCATATTAAAAGTTGTATCCAAGACTGTATTTTTTCTAAAAGCATCATATTATATCTTTTTTAAATCCACAGATCTGCAGAAACTATTTTACAAATGTTATCAACAACAGGACAGCAACCAGTTACAAGTGCTGAAGGCGCAGCAGTTGCCAGGCGAACTGGGGCGGCCTGTTACATAGAGACATCGCCAGAAGTGGAGAAAAATGTCCGTAAACTAATCAACGGTGCCATTGCCTCTATACTGAAAGTCAAAACCCCTGACTCTAGTGCATGTAGTGTGCTGTAAAAATACATAAGGAGAAAATGACTAGAAATAAAATTATATGTTTGAAAGCAGTGCAATCACTGATACCTACTGGAGTTATTTTTATCTTGAGGAAACGGGGAAAAAAAACAACATGTGCCATGCCCATTTTGTTGCAGATAGCATTCATTGTTCATGTTGTAGCTGTGAATTTTAATTTAAATAAATTGCATTTATACTGCATTTGTTATGAACATGCTGATACGTCACCACTGGGAAAGACGTATTTTTCAATACTGGTACTGCTTGTCTAGGAGAGATTTCCATTCATTATGATTCATGACCTCATTTAGGAGTTAAATTTCTACTGGTGTTTATTCTTCACTAAATAACAGATCTCTCATCTACATGTTGTTGTGTGTTGACATTTTGTATACAGAGAACCACATGAGTGAGATTATCCATGGTTTGTAAATATATATCCACAACTAAGCTTGTTTCAGATGGCTGGCCATTGAGACTGCTGGTCATTTTAAATATCAATCTCTAAAAAATGTGAATATAATTCTTCATTCGTTCTGTCTTACGTAAGGCGCCACAGAGCATAAACTCCAAATCTTATTACGCAGTTATTTAAATTTAAGGGTCTCATAAAACGATATTTGACATTAGATTATTTTGCCATGATGATAATAATGGCATAGATTAAATGAAATATTACAGATTGTCTCGTAGCACTAAACAGGGGTCTGAAGTCAAGGTTTGAGGATATAAATTTAGCAGGCGTTGGGCAGGTTTCACCAAAGTCAGATAAATGAAATCAGAATTTTCAAAAATAATGTTTATGCCTTACCTGGCCTATTAAGAATTTGTTGTTGTTTTTTTTTTTTTAAATTTCAGTTAAAGCTGACATTACCTGTGAGGAAAACAAAATTGCTTCTTTTAAATTTTGTAAATAAGGTTTTAAAAATGTTTTTTTTCAACTTACTTGAATAATCTGACAAACCTGTCTCAGAAAAAGATAGTTTGAATTTTATGTTTTAAGCACATTATCCCAGTGCATATATAATAGACATTGAGGCCTGTCCAGTTATAAGAGCGTTGGACTGAGATACAGCTTTCATGTAGATTAATGAGACACAAGGGATTTGTGTAAATAAAACAATATGCAGGAGCTCGAAAAAGCAATTGATTACCTTGCTAATGCCCTTTAATAATCACATTGAAGATCTAATTTATGTGATGTGATAATTCTGTGCTCACCTGAATAGCTAAAACAAACATAGAAACCCCACACTTTAATCAAGGCCAGTTAATTTTGAAAATTGCTTATAGGTGTGAAAGAATGTAAGAGTGTCCCAGTTATGTTAATGATATTTTCTAGCGGATTGTGTCCTTAACAAGGTTAAATGATAAGCAAGGAGGGGGAAAAATATGAAATAACTGGCATTACTAGATTATGTTTTAATATGGACAATTTTTTTACATTTGAATGTTGAACAATGCATGCCTGCAATAGGCATTGGTGCTAATTTTGTTCAATTTTTTTTTTTCAATGAGATAATATTTTCATTGAATTTGAAATGCTTAGAGACAGTACACATAAATTGAATGTGCTTTTGTTTCATTGCAAGGGATAAATGACGATCTACTTTTTCATTGCTAACTTGAATACTCACCTTTTTATGAAACAGCAAGATGGCTCAAAATATTAACTTATATATCTAATATTGATTGATTCAAAATGCTAGTGGAAGACAACTGTAATTTTTTTTAATCTTAGTACAAAACAAGTACAACAAAAAATACTTTCTCATCTTGAAATTCCAAACAATTGAGTTCAACAGTTTCTTGATTGTTGATATTTACTAATTTTTATAATTTTACCAAGCTTAAGCAATTAATATTTGATGTATTTTTTAAGCAGCGCACACTTCATTTACATGTATCAATTTGTTAATTAACATTTTCATGTACATATGGCAATGTTGCAATTAAACCTTTCATATATACCAATGCTTATGAGCGAAGTCAAAGTTTCTCTTAAGATTTCTTTAACTGTTATTTTTTCCTCTCATCAGCATTTTGCATACCTAACCACGTAGATAAAATCATGTTAATATTTTGCAATGTAAATTACATTGCAAAATATTAACAATGTAAATCGGCCAACTTCTACATAAACATGAATTAACTTTCAAGCAAATGTGTTTTATTTTAATAATTAAATCAAATTTAAAACTTACTGCTAAAGTTTTAAAATGTTTTGTTTAACTGTAAAAATAAGGAAAATAACATGAACTTAGAGTAAATAAAAATGTTTCTTACATTTACATCAATTTATAAGCAGTTACGGACACGCTTTTACTTTGTTTAAGGATATTCCAGTTTCCTTAACAGCTGCAATTTTGTATAGAATTCTAAATAAATAACAAACCTTGAGTTCATCCAAAGGCTGGGGTACCGCTCTATAAAATACTAAAATAATAAAAATAATTCTACAGCATTTCTTCTTCTTCTTCTTCTTCTATATCTTAAGGGCCCACGATCAATTTATTGATCATTTTGGCTCCTATGCATTTGCCATGTTCCATCCAACTAGAATCTGATTGCTAATCTCAGCTTTGGTTAGTTTCTCTAGTAACCCACAAGGCTATGAGCTTGTTTATCCCTCATAAGACTGGCATGTACACTTATTGTTTGGCCATGACTTCAACTAAGGAACAGAGCCTTGTGAACAAGGGGTAGGGAGCAAAGGAGGCACCTTCCCTGGGCGCCATATTTAAAGGGGGCTAAATTTGTCATTTTTCATGCAAAATATGTGTATTTAATATTTACTATTTTTGGAAGAGGGAGCCTTAATTCAGCTTTTACCCTGTGTGCTATTTTGTTAGCCATGGCTCTGAAAGAACTGTCAATTCATAACACTGTGGGTGTTTTGTTTTCTTAATCTTCAAGCATGGCATCTAATTAATTTGAATCACATTCATATATATAAGTCTTTTTCACACACTATTTCCTCATTATATATGGGTATTTTATTTTAAAATATTCTAAATTAAATATTCAATTATACACATCACAAATCTTGAGAAAAACAGATTTTTAAAAAGTTTATTTGTAATAACATTTTTTTTTTTAAACTGTACATTAGTAAATTGGAAGACAGACCACTTTTAATAGAGCACAAAATTATAAGAAACAATGTCATTTGTACAGAACATGTCTCTATTTAAAACAGTAATATCAAGGGAAAACAATATTCGTTTAAAGAATTTAATCTTATGAAAATTGTTTTTTTTAACATTTCTTTATACTTTGTTCCACATTTCCTTGTGCACATTTAAGTAAACAACCAAGCACTTGAATTTACAATCACAACAAATAATAAAATATATTTAAAAATCAAACACACAGTAAATGAATACAATTTTAACTGACTCACTCATGGTCAGATAGAGGAATGTGTGAGTTATTTGATATGTTAGATTAAACCCATTCTTAGAACCAATAAAGTTCTTTAAATAAAGTTGCCAAAAAATATGATAACATACTTTGAGCCTTAAACCCTCAAATATATGAAATGCTCGAAATATTTTGAATACAAAAAAATAAAAATGAAGCATCCCATTATCATTAATGAATAAAGCTCTAAAATATTTATAACAGTCAAATTTATACAGATTTTTAAATGGCTTCCCAACTGACAACACAACAGTCAATTGTTTTCCATGTTCTCATTTCTCATCATTAGCTATCAGATCTCGTCTATGTCTCCATTTTTCAACAAATTATAGTTATGCCCCTGAAGAACTTTACTATCAGTACCGGTACCATCCCAGCGACGTCTTGTACACAACATTATTGCCATTACAAGAAATAAGGTAGTGGTACCAAGACCCACAAACAAGAAAAGACTTTGAGGAGTTATCTGAAATTTTTTTTTAAAAAAAAAGGAGTATTAGACATTTGGAATTAAATAGGTAATTGCATACATTTATTATTGGAATGAGGTCAAAAGATAAACACTAACAGTTCAAACCTAAATGTGCCATAGTTATTAAATCACAATATGAAGATATTTCAAAGGGTTCAAACTAACACAAATTATCTTAATGGATATATTTTATGATCAGAACCAAAATGATCCCTTTCATAATTTAGAATAAAACTTTATAATTTAAAAAAATTGGTTGATCATAGATTTTTTACCAAACATATTTTAGTAAATTTTTTCATTTAAAACTCTGACATACGGTACGAATTTCATTATTTATTAAATTGGCAAAAAGTGATTATATTTTTATTGAATCGCTTACTTTCTCCAAAACAAAAACCTACCAAATGTTCCATTGAAACGGTGTTTGAGCAATCCACACTCCACAAATCATTCAGATGTCCATCGTATCCTTTTCCATCATGCCCCAAACCTCCTAAGACGTAAAATACATCGTGAAGACCTTTCCATGCCATGACTTCTGTTCGAGCACCTGGATAACTAGTGTGCTTTTGTTCATTCAAGCTTTTGTACATTCCAACAATGTCTCCCACCTTGCTGCCTCCCATAAAAGCCCAGCCTTGGGCACCAATATGAAATCTCCAAACATCGGCCAGAAGTTTGGTGGAGTGATATGAGGTGATTGGACTAACATCAAGACCTGCCCCGCCAAATAACCAGAGGTGTCCCTTCGAATCAACCCAGGAAGCAGCCCCCATTCGGCTCCCTGGAATGTTTGATGACACAGTTGTTCCAATATCATTTAGAACTGAGTGCTGTCCTGGCAAAGCTGGCCCATGTACAAGTTGCCAAGTGTTGCTGCCTGGGTTATATTTCCAAAGGTCTGAGGTTAGACCAATGTTTTGCTGAAGCACATATGAGAACTCTGAATATGTGTTTCCACCAAACATGTAAAAGGTATCATCACTCACCCATGTTGCAGCCCCATTTCTCATCATGGGATAAGTATTTCCATCAGTTTCCACAGTTTCAGATGAATGTGTCATCCTGTAAAGTTCTTTCCACTCCATGGTCAATAAATTGAAACTCCACATGTCATTAAACACTGTCTTGTCATTTATTCCACCAAATATGTACATAGAAGACTTATAACACCAAACAGCTGAATGACCTCTTGCTGATGGCGCTGACGAGTTATGAGAAATATTGTCTAAAAGTTTTGACCATGTTTTCAGATTTAAATTGTAAGACCATAAGTCTGAAAGACTATCTCTGCTTGTTGAAATTCCACCAAAAACATACACTACGTCTTTAAAACCACACATAGCTGCATGTTTACGACCTTCTGGCACAATCTGTTGTAAAGTATCAGTGGTAGATATTGAGGTTAGTGTTCCAGCATGATGGAGTTCAAAGTTACTTGTTTTTAAGGAGAAAAGCCACACATCATTGAGTAAATGAGGTTTATCTTGGGGGAAAAAAATTCTGAGTGCAAGTTAAAAGATATTGGCAGTAGATCGAACTATATATAGCAAACCTAATACATTTTAATATTTGAATAATTTAAAGGTTCTGATTCAAGAAAGTTTTGAAAAATCAAAACTTATTTTTATATTGAAAAGAAAGGAAAAAAAGTGAGGGTGGGGTGAGAGCTTATAAGAATTTTTGGGAAAGGGGAGTGTAAAAGGGGAAGAAGGTTCATTTAATTGAATTTAAATTAGTCACTTTGCATCACTTAAAAAATGTGTTTTTATTAATATTTGTAAATAAATTTTATGAATCGGTTTAACTTTAGTTCTTTGCAACTAAAAGTTACAAGCAGGAGCTGCTCGGTGAGGACTACTGTCATAAACAATCAATACAAACCTGTTGAAAGATCAGAAAAACCACTTCCTCCAAAAATCAAAACATTGCCGTTTTGACTTTGACCCCAAACACTTGAACCACTGCGCCCACCTGGCTGGTTCTGTTTAGCCAACTGATCTGCACTTTCATCACCACCACGCCAGGACCATTCTAAATAATAAAAAAATAAACCATGCAACAACAGCAGAATTAGCTAACAATTTATTTACTAGTTTTCAACCTTTTGGATCTTGACACATCACACCAATTTACTAATATTCTATTAATAATCTATAAATTTGATTGTATACATGCTGCAAGACCTTCTCTGCCCCCTCTTCATCACATATTTTTAGTCCTGATGTAGAGAGAATGCCTACTTTATAAATTTGGCCCTAGCCTAAGCAAATTTCGGGATGAACATAACTTTACTGTAACGCTCAGAAATGTAGCAAGACCCGTCCCTTCCCTCACATAGTTTCAGTTGTGTTTTTTTAAATACCCATGATACTTTGCACCACAATTAATTATAGACATGTATAAAATATTTCATTTTTTAGATTACCCGGTAAGTTGTAATCTGATGACAATGCCATGTTGTCAGCAAAAGGGAGGAAATAGGAAGTGTAAAATTTATTGAGCATGTGGATGTATATTGATTAACAAAATAATTTCAATAAAAAATTTTAGGCTTGGGCAGCAATACACGCCATATTATTATTCTTACTCTCAGGCCTCATCTCACCTTAACGATTCAATTCTTACTAAGTCTTACATTTAATTTAAATTTAAGTAAAAGACAACAGTCAATTGAATGCCAGTATTTCTTATACTTCCTTACTAATAAAATTAATTACTAAAATAATAAGCTAGGCAAATTGGATTGTCTTGTTTATAGAACTCTTACTCTTTAACTTAACAGTAACAGTCAGTGTCAACAACAAAGACAAAGAACTTCATTTTATTTTTAATTTTATGATTTTAATAGATTATACACTCTTTCTTTACAATAAATGTGATAAATTAAAGGCACGAATTAAATGCTGATGGTGTGAACGTTCTGACCTAATCAATCCAATCCAATAACTTTGATTTGCTTTAGACTTTAAGCATAAACAAAACTTATTAACTGAGCCAGGTAGACCACCTTGTGAATACACCAAGAAAGAGCAACGACTCCATGGAAGAACAAACGGTGTCAACATCAAGACAATAATAACTTGATTAAAAGTCATTATTTTTTCTTTAAATTGGAAATTCATAGGCGTTTTTTAGAATTACACAAATATAATTGTATTTTTTAGTTTAGCCTCATTTTTAATTCAGTCCAAATTATATTTTCTGCGCTTCTTGTAGTAGTTGCGCTGCGCTTTAGCTCATGTACTGGTAGCGATTGAAAACAATATATGACCTTCACCTCATAAAAAACTGAGAGATAAATAAGGCGTTAACTTCCTGTTTGTAAATGGCGACGAGTGAGAAAATTTTAGTGAAGTCGAAGAGTGGACTCAGAATGTTGTGTGTTGATGAAAAATTAGCGAGTCCATTTACGTTAGAAGAACCACCATGGTCCGAAGAAGTAAGCAGGGAAATAATACAATTAAGCATACACCCCATCTGAAGTATTAGTAGCCGAGATAAAGGGACACTTTACAGTGATTTACAGTTCTCAGACTCAACTTCAACACAACTGCAACACTTGACTTAAACTTTTTAAGTCTTTAAAAAAATCGAACTAAAAATAGAATCTAGCTAGAGGTGGACCATCCATATAACATATACGCACTGTTTAAAGAGTGGCGATTTGATTTAGGAGTTGTAGCAAATGGCAAGGGATGAGAAGGAAAAAAAAAGGGGGGGGGATACTCAGTTCTCTGGTTGAGACCCCTTCTATCCAGAATTTCTGGCAATGTTGTCTAGGTTTGTTTATAACACTCTCATCTCGCAATAATCAGGCTTATGCTTGCAAACATAAACATTAAGTGTACCTAGTGAAATCAAAGTTTAATATTCGTAATTTCATATTCTTCAGAGGTGAATGTCCACAACACTTTACTATACCTTGTAATCCAAACAACTTTCAAAAACATAATGAGAACTTCTAACTAACTCTAGCACACTTTCTTCATCTCTGATTCGCTCCAAGATCCACTCACTAAAAACAAACTCTAAAGCAATGACAAAATGTCATCCTCCATACCCAAAAACATCACCAATACCAACTACATAGAAAAAGCTACACAATCTCAACACTAAATACACTCACTAACAAATCAAGTAACAATGCTAGCCACTCACAACAGTGATTCTCATAACCTTGACAGGGGGGTCTCTGCACAATCTGTTGTATACATTACATTCATTCATCCACTTATTATCATTTATGCGCAGACTTGGCAACAATTAATTAACCAGAAATAGTGAAAGTCCATACATAATAATGATACATTAAAATAATATACAACTGAAACTCATATCTCTAATAAAACCAACTGTCATCCAAAGGTCTGTGAAATCCATTTCAAAATTATTTTCAAAGGCTATAACTTAGTATAAAAGGGGACTATTGATAAAGGAAATGATGTCATGTTATTTTGACTGATTTCCCCCCCCCCCTCCTTTTCCTATTAACACAATTTTAAAAAATAATAATACCATTACACATTATCACACTTGTGAACCTATTCTTCCACCCACCCACCCACATTCAAAATTATTTTCAAAGGCTATAACTTAGTATAAAAGGGGACTATTTATAAAGGAAATGATGTCATTTTATTTTGACTGATTTCCCCCCCCCCCCCTCCTTTTCCTATTAACACAATTTTAAAAAATAATAATACCATTACACATTATCACACTTGTGACCCTATTCTTCCACCCACCCACCCACACCTCCATTGGATGCATAATGTCATTAATGGATGGTTAGTGTATCCCTTCTTATTATTAGTCTGGGTTATCTAAATAGAACATCACACAACTAACTTGTAAAATAAAATAATGAGTCAGGTTTTCCCATGATTCACTGTATTACCGGTACATAAATAACTTCACACAAATAACTTGAATGGATGGGCTATAACTTAAATCCATGTGAGATGAATGTGAAACAGTAGTTCAGTAATAATTATTACCAGGTTACTGAAAATAGTTACATGTCTGCAGACAAGAGAAGACTTCAATCAACTCCCTGACCTTTTTATGTCTGGCCCAACATAGCTTACAAAATAGTCTAATTGAATGGAGATGAAACTTAAATATGTTTTATTTTTATTAATTTTTGAAAATATTTTCCGAAGACTTTCTTTTGCGTAATACATTTTATGAAATTTTAAATTATTTTCTAAATTGGTGTGCTCTTTTTAATTACTTTTGGATAGAAAGTCTTTTTAACATATTTTTTTTTAAATATTTGTTTATTTTGTACTTGTTAGTTTTGAAATTTTAATCTTTAAATTATCTACAAAAGTACTCTTTTTTTAAGCATCAAATGCTTAGGAAATCCCGTTTAAAGTAACTTAAGTGTATATTTAAAAATAATAAAAATACTTAACTATATTTGTTATACATTTTATATGACAAATCATATTATATGCTAACAATATCATTTAATAAGTGAGCAAAGTGATTTTTTAATAATTTGAAGACAAACAGATGTGGAGAAAACATTTATGTCTCTTTTTTAAAATTTCAGTGCAGCTTTTGTGAGAATGTTGACTGTAAACTAAAGTTTGATATTTTAAAAAGAAAGGTAGGAACTTCTCAGTTATCTGTCTATTAAAGTTAAACATATTATAATTGAAACCTTGTTTTTTAGATATAATAAATACTACAAAAGCCTACAATGTTACGATTGAAAGTAACTTATACAAATTATTAAGAGAAATTGGCGTTATTAAATGATTATGAAATCTTTCTGTAGCTGCTGCAAGTATATTACAGGACATTAAATTGTTTCTTTTCCTACTCTGTTTTGTTGTCTTGGCATGTGCGGTAGACATTGGTGAAACAATTCTCATGATTAATTTTCTAAAATTAATGACGCATTATTCCAATTTACTTTAAAGTTTCAGTTGTGCCCTGCTCCTGAAGATTATTTCCCTTTGATAACTTGTAGGCTAATCTCACATACCAATACCATCTTTTTAAAATTAATTTTTAATATCGTGTTTTAAAATAATTTGTTTACAACCAGCATCACTGTCGGCGTTGTGGTAAATGCTTCTGTAACACCTGCTGCAATAACATGATTACTCTCCATCGAATGGGTTTTATAGACCCAGTTAGACACTGCAGGTCATGTTTCAACATAACAAAGAAGGAAAATGAGTTTTTCGAGAAACACATCAAAACACTTACATTCGGTAAGTAACTTTGGTTATATTGGAACAAGAGTATTATTTTTAACATTTAATTTCCATCATGCCCTTACCTACTCAGGACAGATTAACTTTGCCAGTTCACATATAGACATTGCTAGAATATCTGGGGGAAATGAAAATGTTGTTACCCATAAATTTTGGCACTATGGGCAGAAATATTAGTATTAATCTTCAGTTTATAATTGTAGTAAAAGCCAAAAAGGACAGTTGGATTCAGAATTGCAAATTTTTACAACTAATTTACACAGTATTACTAAGGCTAAGGGATTTGGCTAGATGAAGTAGATGGGAGGCTGGCAAATCCACCATCTGTGGTGAAAAAGTATTCCGGAAAGCTATTCACAAATCTTTGTTTGGAAATTAATCTAGTGTTTTTATTGCCTGATACTGAGATATTAATACTAGGCAAAGTTTTTCATCAGTTTTTTTGCATAGTACTAACAACAGCCTATTTCATTTATGAATATTCTTCCAGCTCATATAATTAATAACTGTCATCAGTTTATAGAAATCGCAAGGTAAATTTCAATACTGTATGTATTATATATGAAGATTGAGAAGATGAGTCAAACTTATTTTTAATTGTCATACAAGTACCCTAGGAAGCTATGTGATACTAATACCCCAGCAATTTATGAGACTCTAGCACCTTGGCCAGCAATGTGCTACTAGAACCCTGAGTAAGTCAGTGCTCTGTGTTGGAAGTGAGTTGAGCTCGAAATGTACCTGATGATTTCCAAATCTGTGTTATTCACAAGTTAATATTATTTTTGTGTGGTGTTTTATCGTTAATTTTTATGATTTTTCCCCAGCATTTATGTAATGTGTGCATTGTGATCATGATTTTAAGCCTTGTTGAACTTTATTAGCATATTCTGAAACTATTCAATGCTTATTATTCAACATTGACTTGTTTAAAAACTTGTTTTAAAAACAAAAAAGATACATCCAACACTGATAAACTTTGAATCAATAAAGCCTATAATTTAATCATTCCCAAAAAGCTGCATTAAACAATGGGTTTTTATTTTTGAAATTAGTATTACTTGTAATTTAAGATCGGGAATGTCGTCTACATTTCCCCAATAATGAGTCTTTTTTTTAAGTTTGTACAATCGGTACATACTTAAAAAGGTGGGTTTTTTTTTCTTGAGGTCTGTGTTCTGTCTAATAAAGTACCTCAATTTGGTCTTTGCTGCTCTGTATTATCCAATGGCTATTTTCTGTTGATTTTCAGTTATAGAAAACATTAGTACAGCTCCAACTTTGTTGCAAAAACAAAATAATTTTACCATAAATTTTTTACCAAGTATAAGTAATTCCAGCGTTAATCAACACTCATTACAACAGTGAAATTGTATTTTTTCTTATGTAAATTTTTATTTCAGGAGGTCATTTTAGGCGCCATCCAGATGACAGCAGTGATGTTCTCCCAGGTGGCTCGTTCACATGTACACTGTCATCAGACCAAAGGTAAGATCTGTGGACCTCTCTAGAAAAATCAGTACGTTTTCCATCTTTTTTTGCAAAAACATCTTTACAGAAACTAGCAATATTTATTATTTGCTTTGATTTTTTCATCTTCAAACAAATAAATTACAGTTGATTTTTTCAATATCTATCTGGGGCCGGGGCACACACAAAAATAATCTGTTCCTATTTTTACTGTTTATCAAAAACTGATTTTCAGGGGAAGGCCCCTGTCTACATATTTAGAAATGATTCCTTGCATTGAAGAACATATTAGACTTAGACTCCAAAAAATATTACCAAAATATGTTGTTTCTTTCCCTAGATTTCCATTAAAAAAAATTTTTAAAAAAGTTTCCTTGACAGCTGCTGATGTTAAAAATGTGGTGTTGTCAACTGTTGTATATCCTTTTCAAACAAAATTCCAATGAGCTCTAAAAAGATGTTCTATTAATTTTCTTTAAGGAAAAGTTTAATGATACCTTACTTTGAATATAGAAAATCAAGGGAATATAATTTTTTTTTTTGTCCTGTGGTATACTGTAAAATAAATTTATTAGAAACTCGGAAATTTTTATTTAATGATATTTTAACGTCTGTGTAAGCTTGTGGACCTAAGAATGTGCCTGCTTTACCTTCATAAAATTATATGTACTGGATATTTTGGTCCTGATTAGTGTCAGCTACAGTTATTTTATTTCAGATGGTAATAAAATATGTTGTCTAAATTTGTCCAGATATATCCACCTTGAAAGTGATGGAGAAACAATAGAGAAAATCTTCATTGATAAGATTGAATCTGTACAACTTGCAGCTGCAACAGTTGATCAACTAGGTCAGCTAACACATGTTTTATATATTCCTTGACCGATTTTACTGTCATTTTTGAATGTCCTTTAAGGATGTTTGTTTAAATGGAAGTTAAGGACATAGAAGTCTATCATAAGACATAAGTGAACAGTTGATACCTTGTTATTTTTATTATATTTGATTTTTAGGATTATGTTTCAAGATTTTCTGTATAAATTATTTATTACATTAATAACTAAAATTATTTATTTATACAGAACATATTGAATGTATTATGATTTGTTGGACCATTGAACAAAGTTTAAGAATATACTAGTCAATGTCAAATTACGTCATTGTATCGCGGATAAAGAAATCTGACCACATCCCCCAGTTCTACGAGATCTCCATTGGGTTCCTGTGTGTGAGTGCATTAATTACAAAATTCTGTCCCTGGCGTACAGCTGCATAGAAGGCTCTACACTGGGATATCTGAAAGAACTGATTTATAAACATGGATCCTTACAGAACCTGCGGTCTTCAACATAGTCCTTACTGAAAATTTTCAGTGTGGATGAACACAGAAAAAAGTCTTACGGAGTGCGCTCTTTTAAAGCGATAGCGCCAAAATTATGGAACAGTTTGCCTCAATCTTTGAAGGGAATTGAAAATGATAAAAAGAAACATTTAAAAACTTTTCTGTTTAAATAGATTTAAGTAAACCAGAGCGCAGTGAGCATGCTAAAGTAGCATGGATACCAGCGCTATATAATATCCAATCAATCAAATCACAAATGAAGTAAAAATGAATTAAGTTCTTTAGATAAGGCAAAAAACTTATTTGATGGCCCTGTTTGGTTGGTTGTTTTTTTTAAAAAATTGAACACATTGCTGGCCATTCGTTATCGTGAATCATATCATTTTAACTAATGCAGGAAGGCCTCTTTACTAACACTAAAGTCGGCTGGTTTGATAATGAATGCAGAGAGACTGTCGAAGAAAGGAACAAGGCATGAATGATCATGATACAAAGAGAAACCAGAAAGACAAGACAAATATACAATGAACCTAGGAGGAAAACCAAGAAAATGTGTAGGAATAAAAAAGGGAATGGGGAAAAAGCTAACATAAAAGAAATTGAAGACTTTTCAAGAGAGGGAAACAGAGGAATGAACATGAAGATAAAAGACAAATATAATGGATACCATGTCAGACCTTAAGAGGGCAATGATGCAGAATTAATTATGGAAAATAGTAAAGTACTGGAGAGATGGGCTGAATATTTTGAAGGCATACTAAATGCAGACAATAGACAAGATGAATATTATCAACCACCTCATGGGGGACCAGACCCTTTAATAAACTCCCCAACTCTGGAAGAAACTAAAGAAGTAATCAATTATATGAAAAACCACAAAGCCCCATTACAGCAGAACTTACTAAATAGGAGGAAGAGAACTACACACTCAGGCACATACATTAATAACTAAAAATTTTCAAGAAGAGAAAATTCCAACAGAATGGGAAACAGCACTAATAACCCCAATATACAAGAAAGGTTTCAAACATCAATGCACAAACTACAGTGGAATTTACCTATTAAATGTTACATACAACATACTGAAAAAACTAATTGCCAGACTACAACGGTACACTGAAGAAATACTAGATGTCTACTAATGTGGATTCAGACAAAACAGATCAACTGATCATTTTTTCACCATCAGAAGCCTATTAGAGAAATATAACATGCCAGTACATCAACTATATGTAAATTATAAAATGGCCTATGTCAGCATCAAAAGAAAATATCAATATGAGATTCTTCAGAAATTTAGTATACTCAACAAACTGACAAGACTGAGACATGTAACATTTAAAAAAACTCAAAAAGCAAAATGAATTTTCAGGGAGAATATTCAAGGAGATTCACTGTCTTGTATACTTTTTAACCTAACGTTAGACCCAAGACCCATAACCAAGAGGCAACTCACCCCAACCAACCCCTTCAGCATCTTGCATATGCTGATGACATAGCACTGTTATGGAAAAGTAGTAAAGACATATCAAAAGCTTTTATTGAAAAACGCATCGCTACAAGCAGGGCTGGAAGTTAACAACCAAAAAAACAAAATACATAAATATGTTAAGAGAAGAACAGACAGATGAAACCATCAAAATTAGAAACCAGAATTTTGAAAAAGTAAATCTATTCAAAAACCTAGTATTTACTGGTATCTTTATTAAATGAAAGAAATGAATTACTAACAGAAATAAATGAGAGAATATTAGCTGGAAACAGAGCATACTCCAGTAGTCAGAAAATACTCAACAGTAAAAACATTACAAAAACAAAGAAAATCTCAAATTGTAGCATACAAAAGTGTAACATGGACCCTAACAAAAGGATAGAAAACCTTTTTAACACATGGGAAAGAAAAATTATCTGGAAAATATATAGACCAACAAAGGATGAATATGGATGGAGCATGTGAACCAACCAGGAACTGTATAGTCTATATCAGGATCCCACGCTAGTCGCGGAAATAAAAATGGGCAGGCTACGCTGAGCGGGACACTTAAAAAGAATGCCAAATGCGAGAGGAGTGAAGAGGGTGCCACTACCAAAACCCCAGAGGAAAACAGTTCAAAGACAGATTTAGGCTTAAATGGATGGATGACGTGGAAAAAGTTATACAGCAGTTGGGAATCCAAGCATGGAAAAGAAAAGCATCCATTAGGTATGAGTGGAAAGAAGTTTTGAGGCAGGCCAAAGCCCTACATGGGATGTAGCACCACAGTGATGGATGGGTGAGGGAGGCCTCTTTGTGCATATGACTGTATACAAAGTGATATGATACTAAGGTCACATAAATGCATAGCTTTATAAATGTTTTCAAATCAACATTTTTGTTTAGTCTATGATATAAAAGATACAGAACCCCAAAAGTTAACAAGTTCCCCAGATATAGCATAAATCACATCCATCTTATTTGCTTTTAGAGAGCTTACTTAAATATTGATTAATTTTTAATGCTATTAATTTTTCGATGCATGAAATTTTTTATTTTTTAAAAATTATTTCGCAATGAATTCCTTCTCTTTGTTTCCCAGGCAACCGTATGGCAACAGGTATTGCTATTCGTTACACCAAGTCTGTTGACAATTCTGTGATGCTTAAAATGGATGTCGATGATGGTATCCACAGAATGCCGAGCATGTTTTGGGTGGCAGCTTTGCAAAAGGTATTAATATGATTTTAAGTATTTATCTGAATAGAACTTGTTCAAATTGTTGTTTTCTTTCAGAAAAATTTATTTTAGCTTTAAAAAATGAAATATTTTATACTAATATTTGGTGAAGATCTAAGCTAAGAAAAATATTAAATTATTAAATGTATTAATTAATTCAGCTTGATGAGATGAGCATGAAATAAAATGAAAAACTCCTCTATTATAAGTACAATAGCATAACTTTAATGGGAAAACTCATCTGTTTTAAGTACACTAGCATAACTTTAATGGAAAACTCATCTGTTATAAGTGCAGTAGCATAACTTTAATGGGAAACTCATCAATTTCTACGTGCAGTAGCATAACCTTAATGGCCAGAGTGGACCAGACAAACAAGTTGTGTACAAAAATCCCAATGTTTGAACAGTGTCAGTGGCTGTTTCTAATGAGCTGCTAAGTTTGACTGAGTAGGAAATATTAAAGAGACATTTTTTTGGCTTGACTTTTCTGATAAAAGACAAAAGGCGGAGATCATTATATTTATACATTAGGGGACTATTGATGCACAGTTAATATTAATTTGAATTATGCATCTGTGATCTGATTAAGACAACTGTTCTAAGAGTAAGGTACTTCATGCTTTTGCACATTCAAATTGTATTGTATGCTAATGGAGAAAACAACAAACTTGCAAAGTAAAACAGGGATAATTTTTTTGCTGGATACTTGGGTCCATGTCAATGAAACTCTATGTGAATGTACATGTTTTAAAATTTTAATCTTTTCCTTTTAAGGCCTTCATGTTAGTCCACGAATCTCGTAAAATCAGCACCACAACATGATGGACCACAAAGTGAAATTCCACAACTGTTACATCACTTCAAATGTTTGTATATACATTGAAAGTTTTATAATGTGTATTTTCATCACAGATACCATTACTGTATATTAGATAAATTATTGCCAGTAATATTGCCAGTAATATAAAGCCTTTGTTTGAAATGGTATTATTACTTGAGCCACATGTTTTAATTTAGCCTAACATCCATTAATATTTTTAATCTAAACTCAAGAGACTTTTTACTTTTTCAATTTATATTGCAACGGTAACACTATTTCCTTCCACATTATTGTCTATAACCATCCACAGATTTCTAGGTGACTGCAATAATGTAAACACCTTTGTTTTCACTCCTTTTTTAAATTAAGAAAAGCTTTCACTTTAGATATACCAAAACTTCTCTCTATAATGGAACATGGCCAGGACACATGTTAAAGGAAACCACCACACATAATGGTGGCGAAAGTGAAAGAAAAGTTTGAAAAAGATCATCTTCCTGAAATTAATGAAAATATGTATTTCCCATTTAGTAGTGCAATTGGCCAGTACAGTGTGGATTAAATCTGACAGCAGATACCAACCAAGTGTCTCCTAATTTTTGAAACATCAAAATAAAGAGATCTTACTTCAGGTTTTGTTATTTATTCCACTACCCTTGCAAGTTGATATGAAAATAAATAACATCATAATATGTTTTCAGAAAAGATTCTTTTGTTGATCCAAATGAATGGAAATGGGGTTTTATTACATTATACATGTTCATCTTCAGCACATGAATAAATACATATTTTAACCAAGACAACATATTACAATTAGAACAATTTAAACACAAGACATCTAAAGTATTTCCCATGCGTAAACATCACCCACAAAAAAAAAAAAAAAAAAAAAAGACAACTCCCTAAGTGACAATAATGAGTTAATTAGTGATCATTTAGATTTGGTAACTGCTGGGGGAGCATGCTGGTAGATTTTTACAGACTGGAGGAACAAAAGACTGTATATCTTTCAGTCCTGACTTTCAAAAACCCTGTGAAATATTTTGAAAGCGTGATTTGAATTTGATAGATTTAAGACACGTTACTTTTTTTTTTTGGGGGGGGGGGTATTTTTAAAGAGATGAATACCATATGTTAATTGTTCATTTTGAAACAATTCTATACAATCAAATGAGTAAAAAGATGATGATATCTATAGTTACATATTCTTACATTGTTTGAAGTATAAATCCTGGTCTTTTTTTTACAGTAAAGTTTGATTTCAAAGGTTTTGTTTTTCTTAAAGTTTTTTTTCTGTTCTTAATATTTCAATTTTAGTAATTTTAAAATTAGCCTTAAATATAAAAAAAAAATTATATGGTTTCAATTCTTAGGATACAATTTTTTTTACACTTTATTTTCTACAAAAAATTTTAATTTTTTAAATTTCCATCTTCTGTTTTATACCAAAATTATAAGTGACAAAAATATTTTTCACAATGAAATAATCAACACATCAATCCAGTCCATTTAATTTAAAATAATTAACCAATTAGTTTCCATTCCAAAAAATAGCCCTAGAAAAAGACATTTTTTAAAATCTGAAAGTTTTTTCATATGTGTAAAATATCTATTTTAGAAATTTTAAAATCTATAGTCTTTGTTCAAGTGCAGAGCTATCTTTAAATTTTTTGGGCATGTTTTAACATATTGAGTCTACATTGCTTTGTATCGATGTTTATGTTGATTGAGACTCCTGTCTCCTACTAACAGCTCTGTTCTAAACAAAGAAAAGTTTATAATCATACCCTAAAAAAAATTGTGGTCATGAACAACTTGTAATTTTTTTTTTATAGTTCAAGTCAAATTTTTTTACATGGCCAGTTGTATCATTACCTACTTGCTATCATGAGACCTTGCAAATAAAATTAACCCTACTCTGACCGCAAGGTTTCAAGTGGGATTTAGAGGGTATGCATAAGATTGACATTCCCACGACTAACTCTTACGTAATTGGCTAGGTAAATGCATTCCCACTTGTAGTGCCATATGTACATAATTTCTCACTTTAAATGTCTGTACATTCAATTTTATTATATGAAATGTGTAATTAAGTGCTGTTTGTACATACACGTATGTCTTATACCTATACCCTGTGGGTACATTACATACACCCTGTGGGTAGATCTTCCATAAAAATCAATGTTAAAATGTTGGTTTGTTGAGTTTTGAATTAACATATAAGTTTATGACTTCTCATTTGTGCCTCAATGCCATTGTCAGGATTAAGCTTAGAGGCGTCTGCCGTGTGGGGCTACTTAGCAGGGGCAGTGTAGGATATTCGTTACAATGCACCAAGGGCGATATATTTAACTTCTTGCCTCAGGGCATGATCTTGTCTGCTCACAGATCAGCTCAGCTTGTATTTAAGTTCTCTCAAACTGGGATTATCAACCTCCACAAAACCTAAACTAAAAGCCTTACTATTTTGATTTATCAAACATGTATATGTATGTATATATATTTAAATTTTTATAAATACTAAATATATTGAAATAAAAATACACTATAGTTATGGCTGTAGTAAGCATATGGCCCTTAATTAAGAAATTCTACTTAAGTTTGTTGTAAGTATACTCCATCTCCCCCCCCCCCCTCTGCTCCAGGGCTGTAAACAGTCCATACAAATTTGACCTAATTAGACTTGACAGTACAAGTCAATAAGAACTTAATATCTCTAAAAAAAAAAATAAAACATAGTAAAAAAAGATAAATACTAAAAATATTGAAATAAAAATACACTATAGTTATGGCTGTAGTAAGCATATGGCCCTTAATTAAGAAATTCTACTTAAGTTTGTTGTAAGTATACTCCATCCCCCCCCCCCCCCTCTGCTCCAGGGCTGTCAACAGTCCATACAAATTTGACCTAATTAGACTTGACAGTACAAGTCAATAAGAACTTAATATCTCTAAAAAAACAAATAAGACATTGTACAAAAAGTTGTTTAAGTGAAAAAAGAGAGGTATCTTAAATTTTGTTGTTTTCTTGTTACTTGCTTGAAACTTGTATGATCATAATCAGGAGCAGTTCAATACGGCTGAGAATGGGATACAATAAAATGATGTTATAAAATAGGCTCCAGCCTCATGGTCATTAAATAGTCATGTCCTTACAGATATTTGAAATACTTTTTTTTTAAAGCTGAATAGGTTTATTTTTAAAAATGTTCCATTTTTGAACGTTTGTCCGTAAATGATATATTTGTTTAGTGTTGGCAACCTGCTCTAGGGCACCTTTTCTTGTATTTAACCCTCCTCGGTTATGAATCGGTATCGAGCAAACTCTGTTATAATTGCATATTTCCATTTTGGTGTCTGCACCCATGGTACATATGCAGGCTTCAGTGTTGCCACTAAATCAGTTATATTTTTCTGGAGAGAAGGTCGCTAAACAATGACACGCTCCAGTTATCACAAACTCTAGCAACTTTATTGATCTTAGGGAAAATGCACCAGATGATCTGGTGGCACCCTTCTCTTGTATTTAACTATGTTATGAAACCGACTCGAGCAAGCTCTGTTAAATTTGCAATTTTCTGTTGGGTGTAACGACTTGGGAGGGTGTCACCCACTGCGATCCCCACCCCCAGTTATGCTACTGATTAAGATTTTAGTGTAACATTGATGAGAATTAAAGATCAGTAACATACATTTCATTCGGCTTTGGGCTTGGAAATATGTTTTGCGCCAGTGATGTCCAGAGGTTAATTTAACTATAAATCAGCATTTCTGAAGTCATTCTGTGAAATTTTAATCACTGGGCCAAATTAAAATGTCATATACAAAATAAAAGCATCTATTTTATTAGAAAAAGCTATATCAAATTAGACTATTATTATTATTATATTTTTTTTGAAAAAGAACTCTCCAGAAAATGTATGCATTTTTTTCCATGCTTTGATCAAAATTATATTTTATTTGGTTGTTTTGTTACGATTCAAAATTATTTTCAGTGAATTTTCCATTGCTGAGAGTGTGCCTTCATTGCAGTGCTACCATTTTACTGAAAGGCTGTACTATAAAGTATAAAGTCAAAATAGATAATGATAATAAATTAAGTAAAAGCTTCCCTGTGTTTAATATTTTACTTGTGGAGTGAATGAAGAGGCATATTTTGAGTGTGATTTTCACAGCAGGTGTGTAGAATGGCAATGGAGGTGGAATATCCAAGTGAGCAGTAGAGGCATTAGCCACTGTGTAAATGTAATTTAGCCTACAGTTAATAACTCAATTTGGCCCTGACCCTGAATTGCAAAAGGTGTTCAAAACAGTTTAGTGGATATGCCTATGCCCTAAAAAATTCAGAAGGTGCAAAAACAATAATATTTTACTTATATTATATTTTTAAGTCTATACTATAAAGTAAAAGAAAATAATGCATTCAAAAAGAAATTTGAAGTAAAATTTTATCGTAAAAACTGATGGGAAAAGAGTTTCGACAAAATTTCCGTTCGATCAATTTACCGTCGACGAAATTTCTTTCGATCAAATTTCCGGAAAAGTTTTTAAATTATACATATCAAATTTCCCAAGGTTTCTCTAGATATTCACGGATTCCCCATTTCTAAGGAATTTTCCCCAAGATCTGTTAGCATATGTTTCATACTCTCTAGCTCTACTTTTTAAAATTCTCCAAATCCACTTCTTTCGCTTTTTAATTTTTTAAAAATAAAAATAATTTGCGCTGCATTAGGAAATGAAAAGGAATTAGAAATAAATAAGAAGGGTTACCAATAAGAAGTTGAATGACGTTATAATGGCTCAGGGTGATCTTTTTATTTGTAAAAATGCCATTTTCTCTCACTTCATTCGGGTAAGTTATTATTTTCATTTAATTTACATCTGTCTAAGTCTACTTGAACTGTCCAGCCTGGGCCAGTAGCCGGCAAACATTGTTGATACGTTATTATTAATAGCCTAATTAATTTTAATCTGTTTTAAGATTTGGCTCGTAGAATGAACAATACGTAACAAAGGACTTTGGACTTAGACTTAGACTTAGAAACACAATATGCAAAGAAAACGATAACAGAGCGAGTGATATGTTGGACTTAGACTTAGAAACACAATATGCAAAGAAAACGATAACAGAGCGAGTGATATGCCTACTAACTATGACTAATACTAATAATAATAATGACAGTAGTCAGTAGGACTAGTCAATGACTGACAATATTTATTCAATTTATTTAATTATGACTTTTAAATCAACTATTCTATAGTCAATACCAGGCCTGCACAACATGCGGGCCGCATGTGGTCCGCCAGCACCCACTTTGTGGCCCGCGAGCACCCACTTTGTGGCCCGCGAAGTAACCAAATATTCTTTATTTTTATTATTTTCTTAATAGCTTTCCCTCTGTCTTATTTTCTTTTGGCCTGCACAAGTCCTTTCCTATTTTATTTTGGCCCGCACAAGTTTTTCATAAAGTATTACGGCCCGCCTTACATTTTGAGTTGTGCAGGCCTGGTCTATACTTTTAGATTCCAAAAAAATACAAATTCAAATACAGAATAAAAAAAACTATATTGTCTATATCAACTTACAGCACTAGCTCACACCAAATGTAAAGCCTAAACAATCCTCGAAAAATACAAATATTAATTTTTTAATTAATACACACAAAGAGTACAATCTTGCATTTATAATGTATCATATAGTCATATAACATATGTTTAGGAAATATAAATTTAGCGAAAATCTCTCTCTCTGAGCTCTGCTGAGGGAAACTGCCACCCTATAATGGAGGGATTAAATCAGACCATCTAATAAAAAAATTATAGAAATTGCGTCACCTGATAGCATTCTTAGGAACAAAGAACGCTTTAGTTTTAGAACAAATAGACTGCATTCCAACATATACAATTACAATACAATCTTTTCCCAATCAAGAGAGGGGTGGGTAAGAAATTGCACTGCACATTTACTGGGTGATTTCATTGTCAAAGCAAAACAAAAGGAGATAAGTGGTGGTGGCTAAAATTAGGCTTACACATAATAATATGCTCTTTAAGTATAAGTCTACCTCTGAAAATGTCCTTCCCTGTTGTTGTTTCTGGCCTGGCATATTATGCACACTTCTGTCATTTTCAGTTTCTTGAAACTCATAATCCGCATTTAATATACATTATAATTATATACATTTTTGAAAATTATTTAATTTTTGTGTATTTTATTAAAGAAAACTTTCAGCACGAGGAAAAATACATATTAATTTCATTTCTTTGATTAAATCAGTTAGAAACGCGAAAAGTTTTATTATTTTTAAAAATGAAGTTCAAATTAAACACTTGCAAATTTTGCATAATTAAGTACATTGCATGTAACAAAACCATTATCGTCTACAACATTCAAATACGTTACAGGAAAATTTAAATATTAAACAACAATACTGGGAGTATCATCATCAGTAGCACTGGTCCGAGACTGCAATTTCAGGATCTGCCTCGTAAGTCATTTAATAGCTGCTTCATCATCTTGGGCAGACAGAAGGATACCATAGATATATATTTATATATTGTATCACTTAGGAAGTTATTGCTATTTATTCTGCACTCACTCTCTTTACACTGTTTACAGGGTCCAGGAGAAACAATTATTCAAATGGATTTGCAGCCCTTTCTTACTCCGTCACAGTTGGATGGTGGCTTTGATTCCTATTGGTTTAAAAAGGAACACTTTGAAGTATGGAAACATTGGGGCTCAATTTGAGCAAATTAAATATATTTTATAATTTCAGTGCATATTGTATGTAATGGCATACAAAATTTGATTCATGCTTCCCTTTAAAGTTAGTTTCTGTACACATGAGTCAAGTACCAAGCGCTGCAGGTTGAGTGAGAAAAATGATCTTATTCCCAGCCGACCTTCGGTAACATTTTCAACACAAGAAATGAACACAGCCTTGACCTATTTGTTGTCCTTAGCATTGTCAAGTCAGTCAAGGTTAAAAAAATTAGCAGAATATCTTTCACCAACTTTCCAAAAGCATGTATAATTTCCTGTCCATTATGGTCCAACACTTCCAAAATTTGACAGTTGGTTATGCTGCTAAATGTTATTTTTATTGTTTAATTTTAACCTTTTTTTCCCAGGAGGTTGTGACATTGCTGCAGTCTGTAATTAAATCATGTGCGAATATAACAAATAAAGAATTAAAAAAGGTTGAGAAATCAAAAGATTGTGTACTAACAGGTGAGTCAAAGTATTCTCTACTAACACACATATAATTTGTAGTATGTTAGAAAAACACTATTGTTTATATATATTTTTTGTGGAACCATAGTATGACACTACAAGGATGAATACATTGAATTACTGTACTAGAATATATAAATTTAGTTTAGCCTGATGTAAAGTAATACTTCAGAAAGCCAGTCTCATTGATCATTTCCAAGTTCTTATTGTGTACTGGTATCCAGACATTTAAAGACAGACCTCTGTGCAAAGGAGGTGTAGTACTCAAGAAAATAGTTCAAATTATAAATTATAGTTATATTATAGAAATTATCATGTTGTTGGACATATAAGGCATTTCTGACTCAAATCAGTTTTGCTTCAGTCAAAAAAAGTAAGTAAGATTGTTAGAGTCAAAGGGTATTAAAAAATTAACTGAATTTGATATGACTGTGTGATCTTGTTGATCATTTTTTTAAACTATGTGGCCCTGTTTTATGAAGCACTTTACAAAAAATGTGTTATGAATTAATTTCAGGTGAAACTGTGAGAATAGCTTGTACATTTAAAATGCAGTCTGAAAAAAATGTCTGCCTAATAACACAGTTCTATGATAAGGAAAAGAACAAGAAAGGTAATACATTAAATTTATTTATTTCACCATATTGAATTGATTCCCATATTCTGAATACAAAATTAATTTTAAAAAAACATACTTTTTAAAATGTCTCTCCATTAGGTTCTGATGGTGGGTTAAATTTGGTTAATATTAATATCAAAATAAAGAATTTAGCCAGTTAACACCAAACACAAAGGTCTTTATCTTGAGTGAATTCTTATCCAGGTACCCACTGAGTGAAACTTTTCAACTAACATTTCTTTTTCTCACAAAAGAAAGGCTATATTTTCCAAAATTATTTTGATGTACCGGTACAGTCACATATGTGAAGTGTTAATTATTAATCCACAGGATCAACAAGAAAAAGCCAACCATTGTTCCGAGAGGTTTCATTGCACAATGAAAAAATAGTGGCCTACGTCTGTCCCCGTGTAAGTTCTTCTGCTATACAGCTTAGTCAGGTAAGTAAAAGAGTTAAGACACCAACACCTTATACTGCATAAGTTGCAAAGGGACTGATTGAAATCGGGAAATACAAAAATTCTAGCATATCATTCCTATTTTTAAAATAGAGTCAGTTACTAATGATTTAGCTTTTTAATTTTTACTCAGTTTTGATACAATATGCTCAATTCTATTTGGTCAATATTAATTTTATTTTATCTTTAAATTGGTAGAAGTATATCTTTGAAACTGATGACACAGTCCCCATTTTACTCTCTGAATGATTTGTATAACTTTTTAAAGATTTACAACAGCGATATTTCAAGACAAAAGTTTATATTCATTACTTATAGTTTTGTAGATTTAGTAGAAATGTTTTGTAGAAAGTACTGCAGGGAATGTTATCCTTTTTGATTTATATTACTTGTTAATTTAAAACACAATTTTTTTTATTATAATTAATATAATTTTATCAATCATCTTAACTTATTTTTTATACAAATTCAGCTTGTATGTGGTGGAGGGAATAAAGATGGACAACAGGAGGATATAAGTAAATATTTTGTTGCTCTGGCGTCTGACCTACCAACAAGATTAAAATCTTAAGTCAACCCAAATAGTAGACTGGAGTGTCAGATTTTTGGCGGGTTTAATTTTTTTAGATAGGCTCTTTATTTATTGCATATTATCTGATACCGGGTACTCTTGTGCAGGCCCTGATTATATTAATTTCAACTTATTTATAATTTTATGTAAAATCAGCTTGAATTGATGAGATCAACAGAAAAATGGGCCTTTGACTTTGGTGTTCGCTTTAAGTATTAGCTCACTGCACACATCTTTGGCCAGAGCTGGTTGCATTGGTTTAATGCATTGCAAGTGCAATGATAAAAAGTTTGGGAATCAGGGGGGCCACTCAATAACTGCCTGTGCTATTGTTTCACTTACCCGGTAATAAATATTGTTTACTCATGTAGCACCAATAATAGCATTATAATTGTATTTAATTATGAAATAAAATTATGCATCCCATACTATTGAATACAATATATATTTTTTCTCAGCAAAACATGAGCAATATCAGCGTTTACTGGCTTATTAATTAGCAGTAGAAAAGTTGCTTATTGTTACAACCCTTAACAATAAATATATTACAGGGCCTAGTAGTGGCCAATGCCCAGCAAGTCTCTTGTGCAGTTATATTTTTATGTCAATTTGCTGTGGGCAGATTGCAAAAAACAGTGATGAGAATAAATATTCAAGAAAACTTTGTTACAGTAAAGTAAAACTTTTATTTCAAATATGCTTGAAAATGCTTAACTTCTTGCATTCCACACAATAAAAAAAAAAAAAGAAGCTTATCTCTAATCAGTAAAATTGTAATGGTGTGACAGTGGTTTTGGTGCAAATATGAATACACTAGGGATGAACACAGCACTATATAATATATACAAATGTTTATTAATATATTATGTCCTGGACACAGCTTGCACAAGTATATTTGAGTAATCGGACTGCAATCAGTTAGGTGGCTAATAGGTACAAATTTTTTATTAGACTGAGTATTAGGTGTATTATAGTTTTAATACTTGATCAGTTTTCAAATGTAAGAAAACCTTGCCAATAAATATAAAAAAATATAGTAGCGCATTTCAAGTGTTTTTATATTTAGAATAAATATAGCTAACAGTATGTAGACTATTTCTTCAATTCAGCAGAGAAGAGATGAAAAAGCAGCCCAAACATTTTTTTTAATCATTAAAAAAAAAAAACTGTGTTGGAAATATATTTATTATAGTCTAATATTTTAATTATTTAATACGTTTAAAGATTTATAAGTCAAGCTTCAAATTTAATTTGACATAATCTTTTATGTGTGCGTGCGCATTCTGTGGTCTTTTTGTGTTACAACTTCAATAGAAAAAAAGAGCTTTGCATTCAATGCAGATTTGTTTTTGGGAACAAAGTATTATTTAATATATATAATTGAATAATTTTTTATTTTTTTTTAAATATAGCACAACATCTTGTTACAACTACCAGCTATCTACTACACACTAAACACATAATTTACATTATGAACATGATAGGATGCAGGATTGCAATGCAAACTTTCAGCAGCCTTTAAAATGAGTGAATGAATCAAATGAATGACAGGCAATGATACTGAATAAAGTGATTGGGCTCGATGAGTACTTTGATCTTTCAAACCAAGTACTTAAGGAAATTTTAAAATGGGCAGAAATCCCAAAGTTACAAAAGTGATAGCAGATTTCTTCATTTAAAAAAAGCTAAATTCATGCAACCAGTCAAGACAATTAAAAAAAAAACAGATGGCATCATCCACAAACTTATTATTAATGATGAATATTCTTAAAATAAAATATAAAAAAGATGTGTGCCAGAAAAGAAAAAATTGTGAAGAGAATATTTAACCTCAGTCTTGTTATTATTTCTATATGTTCTCTAACATTTTAAAGTTAAAACGGCTCATGTCCTACTTTTTAAAACTATATAAAAAATGCTGCTCTTTCTGCTGCTCAAATCTCAATATCATTCACTACTTTTGTGTGACTGCATACCTGGTGCAAGAAAACCGCTATCCATAAGCTGCCATGTGGAGAGCTGAGCCTAATGTCACTTAAAACAGTAGAGAGCTGAGCCTAATGTCAATTAAAACAGTAACATTCTTTAAAAAAAAAAAAAAAAACACTAATAAAATTTAAGTCAAACTTAATTCAAATGTTTAATACTAACAAACATGTTTAAAAAGTCGTAACAATAATGAACACATTTTAATCAATTTGTAATTGAATTTTTTTCTAATTATCCTTTAAAAAAAATTCATACAAAAAAAATTGTGTGCAAATATAATCCTGTAAGATAAAATATAAAAATTTCATCTGAATGGAAAAAGCTATCATTTAAGTATTTTCCAATTAAATCACACTGAAAAAACAACAATTATGTCATCATACACACACAGCACAATTGAGCATTTAAACAAATTGCTAGTACCAACTAATAGTAGAACAAAATGAAATGAGTTTAAAAATCTTTAATTTTTAAAACAGAAAATAGTGGTACCGCCTGAATACAGAAAATCACTATCACTAATCAAAAATGTTGTAAAATATTAAAATATTATTAATAAATGATGGGGAGCAAAAGAAAATCGCTATTTAGAACCATGTTTATCAGCATAATCAAGAGGCACTTGTGATTTGATATACATAGTATCTTATTACAAATAGTCAAACCATTAATTTCATTATCTGATAAGCAAAACAGAAAATATGCTAGAAATTTAAAAATTTCATTGGGTAATAAAAGTAAGCAATTACATATAAATATTAAAGGTAAAAAACATGCACTCGTTTTCATTTCATGGCATGGAAAGTATATATATATATATATATATATATATATATATATATATATATATATATATATATATATATGCAGGTGACAAAATTGGTGCTTGACGTGCATGAACAGAAAAAATTACTCTGCTACTAAAAAGAGGGGGAGGGGGGCGGTTTTATATATATATATATAGCTGACCTGCACAACATTCGAACCGCGGGCCACGTGCGGCCTGACAGCGCGAAGTAACTAAATATTTTTTATTATTATTTTCTTATGGCCCGCACAAGCCTTGTCCAATTTTCTTTTGGCCCGCACCATTTTTTCACAAAGTATTACAGCCCGCCTTACATTTTGAGTTGTGCAGGCCTTATATATAGAGTATTAAAAAAAAACAAGAATTCGAAATCCTATTAATGGTAATACTATTGCCTGCAACTTCAAACAAATTTCATGAAAAATAATTTTCTAAAGGAATGTGAATTTTTATGTTAACTTCAGCCAATTAAATTGCCTACAATACACAACTCTTATTCATCATAAGCACATATTTGAAGAAAAAAAATTACACAATTAAACATTAAGCACTAGTAGTAGCAGCATAAATGTGCCTTCAAGTAGCCATTATATACAATTTCTGATTTGTCATTGTTTTAGGTAGGATGAGTTTTACAAATGTCACACCCAAAATAAGTAAACTAAATAGAAAACAAAAGGCTGTAATATTTAAATTACAGGTAACATTCATTTTTAATTTAAATATAAATGACCCTGATGCGATATTAAAAAAAATACACTGAAAAAATCATGGATTGCTTACAATTACAATACCCAGGTGTCAAATGCACTTGACTTTTGTATAGCAAGAGCCTTTGTGACAGGCTCCAAAAAAATAGTTAACAGAAGATAGTGGAGAAAATCTGAAGCTTGTCTGAATCAATTCAACACAAATGTGCCAAAGATTAAAAGAGAAGACACTAAGACACAATTCCCCACTCACATGTGTATAAATATATCATCAGATATACCTTCAAATATTTCTTTTAGCCATGACTGGGATGTGATGTAACAAAGAAATATTATGCAATATTTTTAGCAATGTCAAGTGGTGGCGAAATGTCATGAGAAAATCATTCAATTATTTTCTGTCTAATAATTTTAAAGTTAACTTTAGTTGTATAGTATTGGCTTAGATTCATTTTTATATTGATAAGTCAGAAAATCTTTCAACTACTTTCTGATAATTCTTAAGTACATTTTTTAAAAAAATTATTAAGTTGGTTAAAAGAAGTGCATTATTATCTAAGCTACAAATGTGGTCATTTATAATTGTGAGGATGGTTATTATTGTTAGAATGAATGAATTACTACTCAAAATAGCCTTAGAGCAGAAGTAAAATCAATTTATAAGGACCCTTAGGCCAAACATAAACAGAAATATGAATTCTTTAATAAACAGTTTATTATCTGTCATAACACCACACACATATTCTATAACATCCTCAGCCACAATGACACCAGAAGGTTAAATGTTATTTTAAAATAGATTTTTATCCGATTTGAAAACGTACAAAAAATTTCTTCTAATTTTAAATATGAAGAGCATTGAGAAAAATTCTTCATACATCTACAAATCTATGGGTGGGAAATATGTTAGGTACCGTAGTAATTATAAATCATGTCTCATACCATCCATTCCAGGAAAAGCCAGCAAAAATGAAAATTCAGCCTTTAAACAGGTATTGTGTGATAATCATGTGTAATTTAAAAAAATTTACAACAATTTTAAGTTTAAAATTACTAATGTTCTTTTTAAAATTTGTAATATATTATTATTTCCAATAATGTTTCAGTTATTTACTTATACAAGGTGTTGCAACTGATTTGTTTTCCATTTTGATTATTTTAAAAATTTGAATAACCTCATCATTTATAACAATTTAGGTTTAAATGAAAAACTCATTAATGAATACTACATTTAATAAATATAAGGGAAGATCTTGTATGGAACTCTTTCACAATATCTATCCCAACTTGAACCATACTTTTTCTTGCACTGCTCATTGTCACGGCGTTCACGGTGGACCAACAAAACCAGGAAGTAAAGAGGGTAAAAATAGGGCAGTATGTGAGTAAGTCCTGAAAAATAATGTAAAAAATGTACAGAAATCTTGAACACACATTTAATGGTACAAAAAAAGTTAAGCGATGAGCAAATCTGTATTTTGTTAGACGAAGGGTGTAATCCTAAATATTCTCCACATGCTATACAAATTTTAATAATAAAAAGTATGAAAATTTTTATGGTCTTGTAATGCTTTAAATACAATTTATTTTAGATATATGTCTAGCCTGTTACACAAATTGAAATATTTAAGTGGGGAGGGGTGGGTCCAGTTCATTTGTGTACAGATGAATATGGGGAGTTGGCCATTTTTTTTAAAACTACATGTAATACAGATCATTATAAATTTAATTTTTACTGAAAATAATATAGTTATAGTGATCAGAAAATATTCTTTTTTTAACTATGCACCAAAACTAAGTCAAAAGGTGTGGCAGTTGCTTTTTTATATTTTTGTTTTGCAAATGGAATAATGGAAGGCTCCTTAAGTATGGATTTAACATTAAATTGGGACCTTTAAAGCTTTTGTTCTAGATTTAGTGATTTAATCAAATTTGTTTCAGAATTATTTTTGTTTATGACCACCCCCAGTGAAAAATAAAGTTATGAGACGGTACATTCAATTCAATAACTTTGTCAAGACAGACGACATATATTTCACTTATTTAACTTAAATATAGGAATCTGTATTACTACAGCTAGCATAAAATAACAGTTAAATTTTTAACAATTATATTATCTAAATTATTATCAAAGTCCATTTTTGACAAAATGAAGACTTTAAACTTGCTGATTTCATATATAATTTATAATAATATAATAATTTAAGTTGTGATTTATCCAGCTGGGAAGGGTGTAAAAATATTAGAATGCATGTGAAGCTAAAGGAAGATCATTCATGAAATTTTCTGGTTGCTATATAGATGCTAATCAGCAATGTGTGGATGTAAAGGTTAAAAATTGGTTGACGCCGACTGGAGATAAGAATGTTAAGAATTTTGTTTTGGTTCTTTTTTTTTTTTCTAATAGAAATCCTCTTCATAACTTTCTGCGACTTAAAACAATAAGGTTTTTTAACAACATATCAGAGCCAAAAAATAAATAGATCACCACTAACCTGTAGTTAGTGACCATGAAAATGCCATTATAAGATCACCTAAATAGTTGGGCTTTCTGCAAATTCCCCACCAGCCTGAAACTAACAGTTTCTTTCCAGACTGCGTTGGAATCACATCCATTCCTGATACAGTACGAATACAAATTAAGATACAATAAGTTTACTTAATTTTGTAGTTTTAATCAATTTATAATTTTTTAATTTTTCTTTCTTTCTAATAAAAAAAAAAGTAATAATATATTAATTGAATTTTTTAACTTAAAAAGTTTGAATAAAATGTTAAAAACAACAACCTGAAAACACTGGATCCTTTGGATCATTTCGGAACTTATTCTTCTGGGAATTGGACAGGCGAAAGATAGAATATCCAACCACTGTATGATTGAGCATAAAGAAGAAAAATAAAATATAAAAAAATAAGTATTTTAAAAATCAAAAGTTATTTCGTAAGCATTACTATACAATCAGTTTACATCTGCATGCTGCAGCTTTCATAATTGTTTACATGTTATTACATTGGTTCTATTCCAGATTGCAATCCAGCCTCACGTTATAATTTTTATGACATTATTTAACCAACCATTATAGTGAGCCATTTACGTTAAGTTGTGGGTAATTATTTGCGTCAAAATATTTCCTGCGCCTAATGTGATTCTTGAACATAAGATGGCCGTTCATCTTCTTAGATTTATTTTTTCAAAATGATTTATAACATGCGTCATAAGCTTATTGATGAATTAAAAAGGCTACTCACAGTTTAGAAGAGCTATTGGAGCTAGACAGTACCATGGAAGAACAAACTTGGTTTCCAAAAGAAAACGTGGCTGCAGACTATATAGGAAAGGCACCCAGGCAAGGTCTCCAAAAGCCAACATAAACCCAAAACCGTCATGGATGATGTCCATTGTAGTAAGAATTGAACTCTGAAATGTAGCGTATAATTTTTTAATTTAATCTAGATAGACTGTGCATCATTACTTTATTAGAATAAAGGACATTTTTTTTAATGTCTTACTTCCCAATTAACATTAAGAAGAGTCATTTAGGTGAATAAATTCCTCTCCAGCATTACATTTTTAGTCTTGCGTAATTTTTATGGCTTATATAGTTCTCGCTTTTGTTGTAAAATATGACTTGATTCTCACCTCAAACCAAAGAGCATCAGCCACATACAAAGTCTGAAAAACTGTAACCAAAACCAAGTTAGGAGGGAAACTTCCAGTGTCCTGAAATGCTTTGTATACCATGATCCAGTCCATAACTACCCAGCCTATCAAACCTGGGCGCAGCTCACAGAAAAACTTCAGATCAAGAGATCCAATACGGGGGTTCAGCTCACGACCAATGAAGAAATCATAAATGACACTTCCTGCAATAATACATATAGAACTTGAACTTTATTATTTTGAAAAAGTAATTACAATTTGCTGTAAATAATTAATTAAAATTAATAAATTCACTGTATTGTGCGGTTATTTTTATAAATTTAAAGAAATGATAATTTGAGTCAGTCAAAAATAATTATCGGCTGCTACATTTAAAAAACCTTTAATGGTTAACAAGGATCTTTTACTGCTATCAAAAGCCATTGAAAAGATCATCTCTAACCATATATAATACCAAAATAAAAAATTCTTAAAATTCTAAATGACTGTCCAGAGTTGTATGGCAAACTAGAATCCTATTAGAAACATCGCCCTGTAAAGATTATATTTATTATTGCCTTATCAATAAATAGTCCAAACTGGGGGGAAAAAAGAAGGAATTTTTTGTCATTTTTTTCAAAGCTTTCAAAAAAAAAAAAAAAAGAAATTAACCTACTTCTAGTGGTGTTACATGAATAAAATTTATTTGTGAATTAAGTTAGAAATCATATAACTTACCTGTATTCCCTCCAGAGGCAAGCTTTTTTGGATTAACAAATCTTGAACTAATATATAGGGCTACACTTAGTATGGTGCTGAAGATTACTGCAGAAGTCATCAACTTGAAAAACTTATCAGTCACTTTAGTCACTGGACATTTGAAGTAGATAGCAGCACCCAAACTTAGTAGACTTGTAACAAGAGCAAAGAAACCTTGAAAAAAATGTTTTAAATTAACAAATTTGTTCCAACATCAAGATTTATTCAGAGGAACAAAAGATAAAATATATTAAATAAGAAACAAGCACTCTGGCTTGCTACTTTTTCAGCCTTCAATACTCAATGTGTGTTATTTCATCTGACAATTTTTTAAAAAAAATGTGTTCATAAAAAAGCATATCAGGGCAGGGAGTGTTGAAAGTAGACATGCGATTCACTCACAACATGGCAAGTCTCACCATGATACAAGTTGAATATAATTGTTATTTTGTTCTTACTATGTACAAGATTTTTACAAGTATTTTATGAATGGTCCCTTTATTTGATAGAAGCTCTGTTATAAAAATATTATAAAATGCCAAAATCTAAATGAGTTCTTTTTACATACACTTAGAAAAATCTCACCATTGCACCTATATTTGAGCTTTCCTCCTGATGCAAGAGGCTGACCATAAACAACTGGACCAACAGGCAACAATGCAAGGATAACTTGAAAGAAAAACCAAGCTAAGTAGATAAACATTGACTCTGGTTCAATAAATGCAGCCACAAGATTTTTGGGAATAGTAGGAATTTCTAGAACGGAGCAATGACCCTGTGAAAATTAATTCAAAAGCATTTCGGAAATGTTTATATTATGCAAAAATTATGAAAATGAAGTCTGAAGAGGCCCATTTAAATATACATTGTTATGAAAGTAAGTACAATTACTAGTACGGTGAAAATCTAGAATGTTTTGAACCATGTAGTAAAAATTATGCTTTCAACATAAACCTTTTTCATATCCCTTTTTAATATATTAATTTAAAAAAGTTTTTCAGACACATATAACATTACTCTTTTATAATACAAAACATAGACTTCTACAAACAATATTAAAAAGAAAATTTATTGATTTAAAAATTCATCAACAGTTTGTGATTGAACAGTTCTTCAACAGTTGTTTAGTGAAATTATAGAAATAAATTATTCAGTGACTTCAAGTCAACAAGCTACACCATTAATTGTGTTTAAGCCAAGAATTTTAGATTCACTGTACAGCGCGATGGATTTCAAATCCAAGCATTATTTTAAATTACAGATGTTTTATCCCTCACCTTTCTGCAGGCCAAATTAACATAATATACAGTTAATGGTAAGAGGAAGATGAGCAGGAATGTCCCTATTGGTCCCATGAATTCGTACTTTGGCCCATTCTCTTTTAGCTGTGCCTTTTCTTTTGGTGGTGGAGTTGTGATAGTTGATAACATTTCCGACTTCATTTGTTCTCTGATGCGAGATGATTCTTCTTTCTGAGAAAATAAGTAATTAGACATTAACTCTCAAAAGACGAGGGATTGAAAAATCTGTCATAGCTGACGGGTGAAAAACACAAACCTTAAAATATATATATAAAAATAATATTAAAAGGCAAAAATAAAGATTTACTATTTTGGCATGTTAAATTTCTATTTGGCAATAAAGAAAAATTGCTTATACTACTAGTTCTGGAATAAATCTTTTAGCAACTTGTCCATTCATGAATTTCCTTTTTCGCAGTGTTACACAATTTACACATGTTTTGCCACAAGACCAGTTCACTGTCACTACACACTAAAGCATTGCTATGGAGTCCGATTCTAATAATTCTTCCTTAGAGGAATATTTTTGATGAAGATAGCACTTCAGATGTGTCTGATACTGATACAGAGAATACTGTAAATTATCATCATAATAATACTAATATTAATAGTATACAAGGTTTGTTTACTTTTTTCATTCATACTCAACTCACTCCCATACCGTGATACTTTCTTAGCACTATTATTAGCCCTAACATTAACTTTATTCAAATTCTTAAATGGATTACATTATTTGTTTTAATTGAAACTAATTTGTAGTTATAAAATTGTTTAATATTATTATTTTTCAGTTAGCAAAATGTAAAACAATGCCGTACAAGGCCAAGGCTATTACACTGTGACTGTAACAATCAGCTGTGTTCCCTTTTCAATGAAAAGTTGAAGTAGAAGTAATTTAGGCAGATTGTTTTATATTTTGAAATCTTTTTATTTATATTGTACATTTTTTATGTTAACTAAACTAATAAACATTTTTCTCTATTTTTACAGCATCTATGAAGGGCAGATGTCAATCATAATCAATCCAATGGGTTTTGATGACAATGACTGTGGGACTCTAAGTGGATTGCTGCATTTAGACCAGAGGTACAAAGCATAAAAACAAGAGAGGATATAAGGAGATTTCAAAAGCAAATAGACATTTTCAAACTCTATTTTACTACAGATTTGGTTGGTTATTAGTAAGCAGTGTGCGCAGGACAAAGGACCAAAGAAACTTTCTGTTTTCAAAAATTGGTATAACATCATTGAAAAGGAGTTTTATCTACAAAGTGGATTTATAATGAATGCAGAACTTATTCAAGCTCTTAAGTTTTACAAGAAATGTCCAGGAAATCCTTTTATGATGAACAATGAGCAGTCAGAGCAAGGCCATTATGTTTAAGAACATATTCAAGGCTATATTGAGTTTCCTAAAAGTTTCTGATACTGAAAATAAAGGAAACATGCTGTGCAAAATTGGGAGACTCTCATGTTTCTCAATGCAAAATACAAAGAACTGTATCAGCATCAAGAAAATGTAGCAATTAATGAACAATTTAGGGAACATGGGACATCTTTGATGATGAACCCGAAATATTTACGTGAGCCGCAACCTGACAATAACAAATAAATGTAATTTTGTGTTACCAAAACAAGGGTAAAATAGTCAGAGCATAAGTCACAGGCTTTGTTTTTGATACATTTGTATTTTTTTTTTAATAAATAAAGAAATTGTTTTCAAGAATTTTATATACATGGTTTGGGCGAAGGATTAAATCATTTGATCTGTATTTCCGGGATGCATAAAAATGTTTATTTATTAAAATGTGATTTTTTTTCTTTACTTTTATTCTAAAATAATACTTACGCAAAATTTTGTAAGGGTATAATTTCAATGCAGTATGTTTTCCTTTAAAAAAAAAATTACTATTATTTAAAAAAATAATTTTGCCTTTTTCTGGCAATATTTCTTGAATGATATGCTGTCTACAAATAGTTATAACTTTTTTATTTATGAGTCTATTCTTTTGAAATTTGAATACCTTTTGTAGTATTGAATACATTCTAATAAAATATCAATTCTTTGATATAATTGGAAACACTTTTTTTTCTTCCTTCTTAGTAAAGCTGTGATGTTATGTTTTTGTCGACTTAAATATTTTTTTGCCCAAAAATATTAATAAATAAAATTAAGCAAGGATATTTTAAACAATCATTAAATATCAATTAAAGAGCATCCAATTACCTTCAAAATTATATATAATACTTTTAGGTAGCTAAAAAATTACAGCCATGACACACACTGAATAATAAAATGTATTCAAGGTCATTACAAACCAGAAAAATCTAGTCTTTTGAGAGTTAATCAAACAGTAAAGAATAATAACTTCTTAATTAATTACAATATGTGTAGAAATTCAACTTTTAAATACTGTTAGACATGATCTCCCTGCTGGTATCTGATGTTAACTCATTCCCTCCGGCAGCGCTGCTTCCGGACTTAATTTATTTTCCTGAGAAAAGGGAAGCTACTCAGTTTTGAAATTGATTTATATTTTTAAAATATTTTTTTAAGTTGCTAAATATTATTTAATGTTAATGAATTAAGAACAAATGCAACAAAAAATGAATAAGGTTTAATATAAATATAACATTAGATTTTGAAATTGATTTATATTTTTAAAATATTTTTTTAAGTTGCTAAATATTATTTAATGTTAATGAATTAAGAACAAATGCAACAAAAAATGAATAAGGTTTAATATAAATATAACATTAGCGGGGGAAAAATAACGAACAATGGCCAAAAAAATCGATTTTCGGCACCTCGGACGAACACATGGTACATATAGACGCGCCGTACTAAAGCACACGTAGTTTTAAAGTGAAACAAGATAAAAACTTCCGGTTTCTAAATTAAAATCACGCAGAAATCACGCCATAGCCGGAAGTCTCGAGGGGTGCGAGATTTCATTGCTATTTTTAACTAAAACTAAGAGAGGTGTGTCGCTATGCGCCGGGACGCATTTGGACGCATCAGTAGGAACCCCCTGAGGACGCATTTAGTCGCAACCGTCGGGAATGAGTTAAGCATTAAATGATGCCCCCCCCCCTCCAGAAATAATTTTTTTAGGTACCGTAGGTAAAGAAAATTTAGGAGATTTTTTAGTGTGTGCATGCTTGAGTAAGTGTTTTGCTTTGTCACTAAGACATTTCTCTAAAATAGTTTTAAATTTTTTCTTTATATATATTTATATTTGAACAATTTCATAATAATAATTTCACTTTTATTCAATTAAAATTTTACATTTTAAGAATTAGAGATCAACTTCAGGTTGAAAAAGCTGAAAAATTAGTTTCTTTTTCAAATTATTTAACCAGAAGGCTTTGTTAGAGTCAAATAACATTGACAAAATTATGATATTGATAATTTGAAAGTGTGAAACTGAAATGAAATTCTTATTCATATAGATTAGGTAGAGGTTGAGACTATAATGTTGAGATTATGACTATCTTTGATTATAAGTTTTAAGAACTATTTTTATAATCATTTCATATAACTTCATAATCATTTTTATTTGAACATAATGAGAAATTTCCGTTGGGAAAAAGTATGAAAATTCTTTTAAATGGATTTAATTTATATTTTATTAATTTTTCTAATACACTATTTAAATCAGTAAGCTAACATCCAATTTTATTGAAGTGACTTAAGAAAGTAAGCCCAGAAAAGTTTACTGAAAGTTCAATAGCTCTTGACTACCTCTTTTTCGATGAGTGAAGAAATTCTTGAGGAAGTTCTAACTGGAGTTACAGATGCTTGTTCTTGATTTGCTGAAGTGGTTGCATATGTCTCTGTAATAATGGATTTTTTGGTTATAGTTGTTGCTCTACTGCCAGCCCGAGTTGGTGATTTAGATGAACCTTGAGGACGACCTGGAGATCTGGCTGCTACCTGGGGGAATTTTTTTATTATTGATTTCAACTTAAGTTAATAGAATTTGAAATGAAGGTGGTATTCAAATTAAAACAATTGACAGTTTTTAAAGAGCTATTTCAATTAAAAGTATAATTAAAAATAGGAGTCAAATTGCGATTTAAATTTAGCATTTAAAAACTGCAAAATGTCAAGTCAACTATTTTTAATTTTAAATATATAAATTATCACATCAGCTTAATTCGGTCTGAAATATGAAGAGGATATGAGAAGATTTCAAATTATTAATCCTTTTTTTTCCAGCACACTTAGGTGTGTTTTTCTTCAAGAGATATTTTCTGTTACTGTATATTTAAGTTTCTTTCCTGAATGTAAAATTCTACTTGCTGTTCTCTGGGAGCCAAGTATTTATTTTTAATTTGCTTGAACTGCTGTTTTTTCGCAGCAGGTTTCTTGCCAACATGTTCCTTTTCAGGTTTTCCCATACTTTGTTTCGCTAATTTTCTTTTACATAACCTAACTGCAGTCTCTCCCCATTTTTTACCATGGCACCAAAACTAGGGCTTCTCACCCAGAGACAAATCAATTAATAACCCATTTAATCCAGGGCGTTCAGAAATTATATCATTGGAAACCCAAGCCAAAGCAAAGGGGAGCAACTCCATATTTTATTTATTTTTTTGATGTATACACATTTATTCTACATTAGACTGAATTACATACACGTTTTCATCGTTTTGAACAAAATGTATTTGTTACAAATTATTGATTTTGTTGCGATGATGGTATCACGCTTCACACTATGTGGAAAAACTTGCCCTTTGACCTTAAAAGGGGGCATAAAGTTTCCTTCGATCAACTCCATCTTTACCGCAGAAAAGTTTTGAAAAATTTTTTTTTTTAAAATCTATTTAAAAGTATAATTATATGAAATAAATTGATTTGCATTCATAAATGGTTTCTTTATGTGTTATGTAACATTATTTCCTAATGCTTTTCTTGTGTAAATTCATAAAAGTCAATTTCCCATTACGTATTTGAATACTAATACTAATGATTATAACACTAAAATAAAAAATCTGCTTTTAAAATAATGAATACTCCTCACCCATTAATATAAATATTTTTAAAAGAAAGTAATCTCCCTTGGTCTTGTTTCTAGCGAGATTTTTGTTTAAATAGTGAGATTTCCGCGTTCTATTTTGCAACGTGTATTTGACGTGTAAGTGTAAGTAAAGGTTTGAGTGGCCGGATTTAGCCGTAGTTGGATTGAATCAGTACTGACCAGATTTAGCCGCTACGGGGTAGAATAGGTTAATACCAAAAAAGTTTGATGCAGTTTCCAATAAAAAAGCTACATTTTTGGGATGTCTCCCTTCAAATGTTGATTTGGGAACACCCCCCCCCCACCCCCACCTTTTAACAGTGGGCAAAAACCTCCAAAAATATCATTAACCCTAAACTTGTTCTTTAAGATTTATAGTACATTCATGTTTACTCTCTTGAGTATAACAAACAAATTTCCTATTTTTTAAATGTCTGTATTTGGATTTTTTGCTGTCTATTACAAATTGGAATTGGAGATAGATAATATTAACATTGAGATGTGCAAGTTTATGTGCTATGGATCATACCATACCTTAGTTTCTTTTACTTCTACAACCTCAGAAACAACTGCTTTAGGTTTTCTGCCAGAGCTTCTACTACGACTTCTTGCAGTTTTAGTGCTTCGAGAAGCAGATGTACTGCGTCCTCTTGTTCTATTTCGAGCCGGGGACTTGGAGGACTAATAGAAAAAACAAAATAAAATCATCTGTGTTGATGAAAATCTACTCAATTTGTATTAGTATTAAAAAATAAATGTATTAATTAAATAGGCAAATAAATATTTAAGAAAGACATATTATTCACTATTTGTTACTGATGTTTTAAAAAATCATGTGAATTTGATTTGTATCATATTTAAACTTCTCTTTGACAAATTACTAGTTAAGCTTTGACATAAATACTACTAGTACTAGTTTTATATACCACTACTAGTTTTATACCATACTTCATACTTTAACATACACATTACAATTATATAAAATTATATAATATAAGAATAAGCAATTTATACTATTGGGCCTATACCATCAATTCGCTTTTCTGATAGGCACTGAACCAGAGTGAAGCTGAGCCCTTTGAAAATAAAATGAACCGGTACTTCTTCATCATTAATTTAAACTTGATGAAACCATTATAAATTATTTAAAATTAAACCAAAAAAAAATCCCAACATCAACACCATTAATTAGTAAGCATACCACCAAATGGCACGACCAATAGCATTGATAAACTAGTTCTAAAAGTTCATAGTTGAAACTAGGGGAGGCCACTACCTTTAAAACATTTTCATAGGAATTACAGTACAGAGAACTCTCGGAGATCAAATATAATATGGCAGCTTATAGTTATAGTCCGTTTCCTTCAATGCAAACAATGTCATCACTCAAAACATTATAGTATACTTTAAAAATCGTGGATAACTTTAACTTCGAACAATTAATACCTTTTTTGGACTTGACATTCTTCTGTTTTCTCTATTTTAATATGGATCTGATTTTTTTTATGTGTGGAAAAACATCCACCTATGGAAAAATCCAAAACAGCAAATTAGAATGAGTTTAAAACTTACTGCTATTTCTTAAAAAGTTGTAACAGAATGAAAACAAAGAATTGCTATTTAATTTGTTAAATGAAACAATAAGTGAAAGGCAGAATGTAAAATTAAAATGAAATATTGGTAATTTAAAAGAAAACACTTGGCACTTATATAAACAGAAAACGTTTATTTAGTTATGTTCATATTTACAAAATACAGCTATTTTAAATTTTATATTCACCACACAAAACTTAATAATAATAACAAGTGCTTTTAAATTCAATCATGATGTTTATTAGGAATGGAATAAAGTCAATTGGTATGCTTATCACACAATAAGTACTTTCATTTTTTGATGTAATAACAAAATGTCAAAGGCATGGAAGAAATTTTTTTTTTAAAATAGTAATAAATAAGCCTTATTAGCCACATCTCTATGTTGGTACTTATGTTCATTTTTTTTTTTTTTAAAGAATGTATTAATAAACAAATGGAATGATTTGCTTTGGTACATTGGTACAATATTTAGTCCAGCCATTGCCAAGTGAATTTCGCTTATAATTAGCACTTTGTCTCAGCCACATCAGAATGGTGCCAATTACAACTATCAGAACAACTACAGGTACACCACCAAAGCCTGAAATAAATAAATGAAATTTTTTTACACAAACTTTGTTTGTTTCATTTACAGTATATCAATTACATTGATGCTGAGAAGTCTAGAGAAATATTTTCTTCTTTAACCCACGAACTGTCGCCAGCCGATGATTTTCTCTTCCCAAACTGTGTCGGCCAATAAAAATTGCGTTGAAAGAATAAGTTCCAGTCCAATATTTTTACACCAAATAAAAATACTTCCATTTATTAATAAATAAACTTCAGTTTTTTTGCTCTTCTGTGCCCTTTTTTTAAACTTTGGAGTTATTTTTACAACGATCTTTATCAAGCAAATTTGTGTCAGTAGATTTTCGCGAAGTGGACGAGGCCATAGCTGGACCATCTGGCTTACAAAATAAATCAGTTAGGAATCTTTTTGATAATTCATTTCAGTTAACGATTCGGAAGATGATTTTCCGATCACACACGAAGATAATGATAATTCCGATAATTTTCTAGTTGGTCAGAAAGAGAAAGTTCGGACAATTTAGACCTAGGCCTAGAACAAGTATGCGGCAACAGGACTCTTCAAAACTATGTTGTAGATGATTTTGTACCAACAAAAAATAATTGGACGTTGTTCTATATATGTTTCTTACATTTCCTTTTATGGATTAAATATTTATATAGCAGCTATTAAAATTTTATCTGTTTCTTGCTATTTAGTAAATTTTATATTGTTTATGTCGTGCTTGGTTACTTGAACGTAATTATAGGTATCAAAAGAAATTTTTTTTTAAAATTTATTAATAGCTAAATAAAAATGCTATCATATTATATAAAAATTATATTAATATGCCTTTAAAAAAATGTAGTTTGAGGTACTTGAAAAGACAAATTTTCATTATTTTTATTCTTGGCTACTCCAAGGTCAAGGTCATGGCCAATGAGTATAAAAGATCATTAAAAAAAATAGCCAGTATGATTCCCCACTCAGTCTAATTTCAATAAAAATACACTTTATGGGGTCTAGCTATAGTATTGGCATGTGAAAATCACAATTTTCATCCAAAAAGCTCTAAATTGCCTGCACAGTACAGAAACATACCATTGACAGTTTGTGGGTTAATAGTGTTCCCAAAATAATGCCTTTATAAAACCCTCATAATTTAACAGATTTCATCAAACCAGAAATGTTTGATAAAATAATGAATTTTTTTTTATTGATTAGTTTATATTTTAATTAAGATAAACATTATTTATCTTTATTTGTGCCTAATTAATATCTTAGTTATTGAAATACCGGTAGTCTAAATAAATTAATATGTATGCAGATTTTGTTTTACAAATGATCTTGAATTATAATATCATTTTTATATTTACACTCTCATATAAAACTGGTCTTCACATTTCCTTCAAATGTATTAAGCTTTTTGTTATGGTCAGTTCAGGAAATGCATATCCAGCTTTACAATACTTAAGAAATAATTCTTTTAATACACTTTCATAATACTGGTACCGGTACTGCTTTAAATTTATTTTTCAAACAAAACCTACCACAAGCAATGGTCCATGACAACCAGATGATCATATAGCCAAGATAGTCAGGCTTCTGTACAATGCCCCAGTAGCCACTAATTAGTATTTTTTTTCCTTGAGATGCAGGTATTGATTTTATATCTGAAATTAAAAGAAATTTTTATTTTCCAATTAATTCAGAGGTAAGTTAAAATGTGGCACTTGAAAATACATTGAATATGCTTTCTAGATAGTAAAAATATTCAATGTCTTAAACTGTACAAAAAAATAATTAAATAATAATGTCAAAAAGTGCTCTCTTAAAACACTTGCTTGTGCTTGCCAATCTTACTTTGATAATATAATTTTTCTAACATTTGAAGAAATAGATTTACTAAGACTTTTTAGCCACTGCGAAATGTGTTAAAATTGATTGTTTGAACATCTAATTTATTAGAATTTAGAACAGTTGGAAAGATTTGTTTAAAATGTGTTCCAATATTAAGAACAAAAAGGGGCTCCAACTTTCAAGACAACAGTTCAGCTGATTAAATTGTTAACACAAAAAGATGGTTGCCATTGAAGAATTTCAGTTTCTAAACCTGTTCATGACACACTTTTAATATCTTAAATTTTCAAAAATAAATATGCCAGTGCAATAACCTGTGTAATTATATAATGCTATTAAGTGTGTACTAAACTGGAGCTAGAATTTTCTATTTTTAAATCCATAAACATACAACGAATTGAAAATAAAGTTGATTGAAAATGAAAACTGGGTTGAAATGCACTGTTTTAGATGCCAGGTTGAAAAATTTTTTTTTTAAAAATAGGGAAGTAATGAAATTTCATAAATACTTTTGTAAACTGTGTGGCCTTGGGCGAAGTTTTCTTTCTGATGAATGGAGCTGATGTATATGACGAAGCCAAATACTGAAGAAACATCATTTATTAATTAAATTAAAGAAATTAAGGGGTGGGGTGTGGAAAGGAGAAAGCCATTTTTATACTAAGTGTACTTCTTAATACTGAGGGAGAAAAAAAAATTAAAATAAAATTTTGAACTGAAGAATATTTTTTTTACATACTTCACTTTTACATTAGGTAGAAAATCATGTTTAAAATGTACTTCAATTTGCTTTCCCTGATATCCTGTTATAATGAACAAATTTTATATTTATAATTTATATTAATGTAATGCTGGATAATTAGATAGTATAAAACTTCAAGACCTAATTAGGATTGGTCAGAAGTTGGATGGAAAATAAAGCTTAAACAGTTTTTATGTAAGAACTTTTTTAATGTAGAAAAGGTTAACAAGCTATTTGTTGATTTTTGGGAAAATAACTTTTTACAACAAGGATATGCACACTAAAAAACCTACTGGTATTATGTTAATTTTTAAAAATTTTCCCTAAATACCTAAATTTTAAGTTACAAAATAAATGTTTACATAATTTTAATTTCTTCATCAACCTTTCACTTTATTTAAATAATTCACAAGTTAATTTTATATGTCCTACAGTTCTCTTTATAATTTAATTTAAAAAGTTTAAGTTTTCCAATTTTAAATGCATTATTCAATTATTACTTTTGTAAAGGTGTGACTTGAATTTTGTACTTGAAGGGGTGCAATTGGTCGATAGAAAAAATGGGGAAACAGCTTTTGGTAACTTTCTATATTATTTTTTGTCAAGTTCTCCCATCTTAAATTATAGTTTCTTTAACTTATAACAGTAAAAGATTCTAAAATTTTTATTATTACCACACACGAACCCTAATAGAAATGTTATTTGCATTACCAGATATGCCCCGCTCATCAGGCATTTGACTGAAGCACTAACTGACTAAAAGATGTTCCCACTTAAGTATTTGTTCAGAAATAATGTTACATTCTTAATTATACGGATCATTACTGTTTTGTTTTTGTTAAGTTAAAAATAATGTTACATTTGTCTCTTCAGTCTTCTGCATAAATTAAAAAGGAAACAAATAGAAGAACAATCTTTGACAATCTTTGACAATCTTTATAAACATTAAAAATAATATAATATAAGTGGCTATAATTCCAGTTAAATATTGGATTGCAAGTTGCTATCGGACCGTGTTTTTTATCGGCCGCCACAGTACAGAATGAGAAAGTCGGCGGATTTTTTCAGGCCGACCACAGTTCGTGGGTTAATTCAACAACACCCACCCACTATTAAAAATACAAAGTATTTATTTTCTTAACTTTTATTATTATATTTTCAGCTTACTATTAATCCTGTTAGATAACATTGTTTTTGAATATATAAAAAAAAAAAAGTGCAATGACTTACAGAACAGAACAGAATCTGCCAAGATAGCAGGTTTAGGTAATGACATCTCTGTGGTTGCAGCATAATAGACTGGAAGTGAATGAAGGAAGGGAAGGTACATAAACACTCTCATCAACCAGAAAAAACCGAGGCCCTCTGTCTTTACAAAAGGGCGATTGCGCAAGAATTGCTGTGGAGCACAGAATTTAATTATTTAAATTTTTCATAATAATATGATTTTATGAAAATCTGTTTGCAACAGGTGGAAAATATTAAATTATACTTTTGCTATAGACCAAGCTATTATTTATTAAAGAAAAACAATGTTGTATGATTTAAGCTCCACAGTTAAGAGCCAAAACTAAAATTTATATTATAATCATTTAACATGTAAAGTATTATGAAATTAAGTTCTAAAAAAATTCCCATTTAATGCTTACCTCATAAGCCAATGTATGGGCTATAACACAAAAGTGTGTACCGGTTAAAAAGGCAAGCGGGGCTGTGATGGCGTGGTCGATAGTATAGTTCAGCAAAATTAGGAGATCTAGCAAGGCCCATGCAACCAATCCCACGTATACATAAAAGAAGTACTTCAGCTCTACATGGCTGATCTTAATTTCTGTGGTGGAGCCATAGAAGAAAGCCATCGGACAGCAATGGTCTGAAAAAGATTAAACAGAAATCCATTAATATACAATTAAATACTTGACCAAAATGCAGAAATTATTTCAATATCATTTAAAAAGATCAATGTTATAATCACTTCATTGATTTTAAATAAATATATTTCAAAAATTAACTTCCATTACACAATTGGCAAATCTACCATATATTTAAGTACATTTAAAATATATTGGAATGGGGTATTATGAGTTCATACCTCTGTCTTTTTTCAAAATTCCAATTTGTGAAAATAAAAAGATCAAGGTGCTGATTATAATGGAGATGACAATAACTGCAGCCAACATTCGAAGGTATTCATCATGAGCTAACTTTATGTATTCTGGCTTAAGATAATACAGAGCCAACAACAGCAAGGTAGTGCTGAGCAAAGATGAAAAGGCAGCTGACATAACTGGCTGTTCTGAAAAAGATGTGGCATTTGTTCAAAATAGTTCCTGGCCATAGAGTCATTTCTTTTAAAAATATATTTGTGTTTATTTTCCACATATTTTAGAAATATGAACTGATAATTTTCTTCCCCAAGTCAAGGTTGTTGGGTGTTCAAAACCAATATTATTAACACTAAAATAAATCAGCAAATTGGTACTTGTGAAAGGGAGATTATAAAAAATATCAATAATTTTTTTTTAATGAAAATAACTGCCGTTTTATTAGAGTACATGAATAAATATGTTCTTGTTTATCTTAACAGAAGTTTTAAAACATAGATTTGTTACTATAATTACCTTTACCTTTACCAGATGTTTTCAAAGTTGCTGGCCTTGCAGTAATATTGAATAAAAGCATAAGAGTGAGAAATCCTAGCACTATACTTGTTGCAAAAGTTGAAAAATATGCACTTGCATGTGTAGGAATAACAAGTGGAAGTTGAAAAAGCACACACTGATTCTGCAAATCAAATTATAAAATTATTGACTTTATAAAAAATTACTTTTTTTTCAATGCAAGCTTAAAAAAATGTTATTAATATTTCTGTACCAATGCCTTTCTCAAATTTCAATACATACCTTCTCACATCGCAGTGTCAGGTAAAGAAGAAATAATGGTCCGAAGATCAAGCACACCACTGAAAATATTCTCCATTTAATGCTTATGCATGGCTCAACAATGTCTGTTCTAATGTTGCGCTCCGAGCGCTGCCTCTGAGAAACAATTATTTTAGTGTTAGTATAAAATAACTATTGAATACCACAAGACAATCTTACTCATTACCCCCATCAAGATATTGAATTAGTTGTAAATAATTATAATCAGTAAAAGATGATCTACTATAAAAAATGTAAATACATTTTTTTGTTAAAAATGAGGTTTGGAGGAAAGCATTTTGTCTGGGACTACAACACCTCCACCTCATCTCAATAGTTCATAAAATTAGAGCAGTTTCATTCCTTTTCATTTAACACTTATGCCCAGTTATATAACTTAACTTGTTTATGTTTAGGCTATATATAAATTACTTAAAACTGATATTGCATAGGGGATGAGCTAAATCTAACATTTCTGTTATTTTACTTAATTTAAATTGGTATATATTTTTTTAATTAATTTTTAAATGTGTGTATATTAAATAAAAAGTTTACCCTTAGTTGAGCCATGTAAATCCTTTGACCTAAAATTTAATCAGATTTGTGTAGTTTTCTTATACCACTCTGAAGACTTGTATGAAAGCCACTCTGAAGACAGGATGCCTTAAAATCAATGTTTTTGAAATTGTTAGATCCATGTTCAAAATCAATTATATAAAATAAATAGGAAAATAACAAGTAAAGTTTAATTAGGAGCAAGTGTTAAGAAATTTCAAAAACTTTGCAAACCATTTAAAAGTATCATAACAATACAAAATATCAGATTTTATCTTCAAAACTCAATTCAGATTTTTTTTTAAAGTTATTTAGCAACACCTTTTATAATACTAGAAAATCGACCATTAATTGTTAAATTTGACAAAATGTGTATATCACCTCCATTTAATTAAGTAGACCATAAAAATATAAAAAAAGAAATGGCTAACTGCTGTAGGAAAAATGGGGTGGCGGGGGAGGGGGGATGTTGTTTGTTTTGTAAATGGTTTATTCGAAGTATCAAGTTATCCTTAATGCTTCTGAAGTGATAGCACACAAATGTTTCGTCTCCTGTGAGATGTCTTCTTATTATATTTGAGGGCCCACAATCAATTTATTGATCATTCTGTCTCCTGGTTTGAATTCAGAGTTGCCTACTCTTAGATGAGTTCTGTCCATGGTCCTATCTACCCTGGGTAGTTGGCTTTGGTGGGGATTGAACTCCAGACCACCAGCTATTTTGTTTGAGTCAGTTTAGACCGCTCAGCCACCCAGCACCCAGATGTTACCATTGTAGAATGCTTGTTTGCTACAATCTACCGTTTACTATAAACTCTGTAAATTTGTTGCCATTTCATTTTTATTTTACCCCCATGCAACATACTCTAACTATTAAGTATTTCTTATTTATCCCCAAATAGTTTTTCATTCACTATGATTCACTACTGTTTCTAAGCCCCTGACTATCAACTCATCCCTCTATCCAGAAAATCCACCACCTGAACCTAAAACAAGCTCTTTCCTATCACACAATTGATAAAAAAAATGTCTTCTCCTTAGATCAAAACTCTTTATGTAAACCACATAATCATCTTAAATATCCTTATAATATAAACCAGACTCTTTAACATAGTTTTCTAACCTTATGTCTCACAATCATTCTGAGCTTTAAAAAAAAAAAAAAAAAAGTTTTATTTCTTCCTAGGCTGCCAACTTCTTCCAGTGGTTGAATTTTTTAAAAAAGGAAGTTTGTACTTCAATTTCGTAATCTATTTTGGCCGTGAGATTTAAGGTTTTAGAATATAAAACTTACAATAGGGAAATGTATTTGTATGCAATAAATCAAAAACAAATGGTCAAACTTCAAACCCTCCCTTTTTAAAAAAATAACATAAATGTAGTTTCTGTCTCAGAGACAAAACTTCCCCCAAATTTTGTTAATGTTTACATTGCCCCACAAAAAATACATCATTGAAAAATGAAACAGTCAGCATCACTTGGATTTGGTAATATTAAAATCTTTGCTAGTTGGTTTAAAAACTTATAAATAAATATTCTTTTTGGGCACGCATTCTTCAAAAAAATAAAGTTCAAACCTGTGCAAAAAAACAACTAGTATTTAGAATGACAATGAACACAAGAGATTTCATAAAGTCATGTGCCTTTTAATTTTAAGACTTTTCTCCTAATGGATTTTCCCTTTATCCATGCATGATTCTCCCAACCATTCTTTGCAATCTGACTGCTGACATGTTTAAAAATAAGGAAAAAGTAATTTTGATATTGTGATGTCCGTTTCTCTGGTATCAAATTTAATGTTACTAGAATGACGGAATATGCTGACTTTTTAGCTTTAAACAAAAAATCTAGGGTAAACACCATCACCCCTCCCTTTCATCATAGACTCCAGGTTTTTATTTTCGAGTGATTTTGACGGTATCAGCCTTAATTAAAGTTGTCAAGCTTTCATTCTATTTGTTTTTTTTTCTGTATGATTTTTTGCTTTATTTATCACTACACTTACTTTTATATTATAGATATGTAATAAAAATAGAAAAAGAAAGAAACCAAGAAGCAATACTCACCACAAACTGCAACATTTCTGCAAGCCGCCAACAAAATTTCAACGACAAATGAAACTAATATCTGCTTCAAATTTAAAAATGTGTAAACGACAATGGCATAAAAAGCTCTTGAAACTGAACAAAACAGAAACATTTAAATAAGGGTGAACATCTTTTCTAAACTATTTTTCATTTTCAAGCTATATTCAACACTTTGAAGTAACTAAAAAAAAGTGTCATGATGTAGTCAAGTAGCTTTAAAAAAATAATGGCAGCAAAAAAAACGAGACCCAAGACCGTTTTAAACATTTTTTTAAAAAAACTATCCAATTAAAAAAAAATCAGTTGTCTAGTCAAAGTAAATATGACATAAGTATAAGAAAAAATATTCCTTCATTTTTTAATAATTTAACTCTTTTATAAGTTTCAACAAGGTGATCAGCAGTATCGAAATTTTCAGGAAGACAGAGAAGGGAAGAGGAGGGTGGGGGGCCTCAGCATTGGCCACCTGGAGACTGGATTCTAGGATGTTTAAGTTGTTACTATTTTTTAACTGGATTTCATTTTTTTTTTTACAATCAAGGCTGGAGTCCGGAAGGACACATGGAAACAGCATTCCAGTACTTTTTTTTATTGTTGCTAAGAGTAAGAGTACTTCCTACCAAGACTAAGACTTAAATTTAAATGTCCTTTTATATTCTTGGATGAGTGGAACATAATAATAATTAATAATAGTGTAATATTATTAATTATTATATATAATATAATATGATAATCACCCAAAGCCCAAAGGGAGTAAGTAGCCTATATAAGTAGGCTTTTTAATAATTTCATTCTAAAATCAGTTATTATTAGCATTTTTAAGACTATATTTCTTCATTCTATTTGCTAATTTTGAATGAGGATAATAGTAATAGTAATAAATAGTTTAAATAGTATAGTGATGGAGTGTCACACTCACACCGTGCGGCATGTGAGTTTGGACTATTGACGTGGAAGAAATTGAAAACTCCATACCAATTTATAAAATGAATAGGTAAAGTGGGACCTAACTAGCTGTAGACGTCAACTTTCTTAATGTCAACATCTTAGCTTAGAGGAACAGAGATTGTATGGTTCCTTTTTTTTTGTTTTTTTTTTTTTTATTATTTAAAAGGGGGGGGGGTGTTTTGTAACCCGGAAATGACCCCAGATATTGTAAAGAAATAACTAGACCTAAGTTAAAGGCAAGACTAAGACTAAGACTAAGATATCTTTTTTAACGGAGGAAGGGGGGATTAGGGGACGCTATAATTTGAAAGATTTTTTTTTTTTATGGGAAACATTTATCTCAGTAATGTTAAGGCCACTATTATTCTTAAGTCACAATTGCATTAAGTGATTTATATTTCAGCGACACGTTGTAATTCCGCTTCTTTTATTTGATTTATCATGACCACTTTTATAATTTAACTGGGTCAGGGCAGATGGCTAGGAATATAGACTTGGACCTTCGATTGGTGAAATAATGAAATTAATAATTAAACGTTAGCAGTTGCTTACGTCAAAAGTTTACTCGTGTCATACTAATTCGATACCTAATGTTACTAGGACTTATTTTTTCTAAGTAACAATATTTACCATTAAATATTAATCTTGTTGGTGCTGTTTTCGTCGACGCTCCGTGACGCTTGGCGGGCTGTAATTTCATTGGTTGATTACTTATTTTCTAAAATAGACACGTTTTCATTGGTTCCTTAAAAACATGCAAATATATCGCCTGTTTCATATAAAATGTGTGTTAAAAAAACACCGACTTTTACTTCTCTACTGTGCCCGTTCTCCTACCCTAATTTTTAGAGGCACAGTTAAAATGTTTCTCAATGCCCTCTTTGCTGTCATAGATTAATATAATTAAATAGACACGAACAATTTTTGTCACTATAACAATATATGTTAGAAAAAGCTTTAATACTAATTTTACATATTACACAAATAAACGTTTCGGTACATGCCTCCATCATGGGCGCCCGCAGGGGGGGGGGATTTGCCCCCCCCCCCCATAGATTGATTGGATACAAAATTTTAGACAAAAATAGACAAAAAGCTTTAATACTAATTTTACATATTACACAAATAAACGTTTCGGTACATGCCCCCCTCAGGGGCGCCCGCAGGGGGGGGGGATTTGCCCCCCCCCCCCCATAGATTGATTGGATACAAAATTTTAGACAAAAATAGACAAACAATTTATTGAAGTAAAGAGAAAATAAATAGAAAGTAACTAAGCTGATGTCCTGTCCGTTCGTTCACCATACAAATACGCTGCAGTAAATTAAAACTACATTAAAACATTACTACAAAAATTTTGCCCCCCCCCCCACCTAGAAAGTTTTCTGCGGGTGCCCATGTCCAGTATGGTATAGCGGCATTACGTTTTAAAATTTAAGCCAACAATGCACAGACCTTTTGTGTCCCGCACAGAGTTTGCTGCCAAGACTATTTAAATTTAAGTTATATAAACTTACATGAGATCATCTATGTCTCAGGTTCGATTGAATGGACTGACAATGAAGGTGATTTTGTTCTAAACGCCGTTATGCATATTTTACCCACTGCATTTTTAGCCACCACCCCCCTCACCCCCACACCCACCCCCAAAAAGCGACTTTGAGGATTATAAATCTGGAGTATCACGAAAAATTATTGCTCTTCTTTCAATCTCCCTCAAAAAGTTTGTGCCATTCCATTATTGAATTTGTGTATCTAAGCAGTGATAATTTCAGAAATTTCCCCCGGGGAAGGGGGGGGGCGCACTTCAGATTTTTTCGGGAGGGGGGGGCAGTGCCAGTTGACTTATCGTTGGACATCTGTTTGCTGTGGGGGGCACTTGGCTTGCCCGGGGGGGGGGGGGGGGTCAGTGCCCCCCCCTCCGGAGATATAGCTGAAAGAAACCCTAGATCTAAGTTTATGGATCTAGAATCTAGGTGGAGAATTGCCGAACCCCAACATAAGTTTATATTTGTTATGCTCCTAGAATCACATTAAGTATAACGAACCGAATTTCGTTGTTTAGCAGTCGCAGCATATCGCGGTTTGACTTAGCGGTGATGCGATAATATCATTTACTTTGTTTTCTGTTTAATAAATTGTCCAATTACATCTGAAAATTAATCTTATATTTATAATATACAGTCTCTTTGTAAGCGTATAGCCATTTAAACTTTAAAAAAATTTTGTTAAAAAGTTTATTTACTTCTGTGTGTGTGTGTTTGTTGTTGTTTTTTTTTTTTTTTTTTTATTTGTTTTCGGCAACCATTAGATTATCAACATGCGGATATTTGTTCACTCGTTGAGCAATGGAGCCGCGATGAGTAATTTGGACCAGGGCAATTAACTTTTATAGGAAAAAATAGAAAATGTAGCTCCCTGGCCACAAACACCATGACAAACATTAGATTATCAACATGCGGATATTTGTTCACTCGTTGAGCAATGGAGCCGCGATGAGTAATTTGGACCAGGGCAATTAACTTTTATAGGAAAAAATAGAAATTTCGGAAACTAAGCGAGTGAACAAATATCCGTAATGACGCGTCCCATTATGACCAGCAAAGCCCCAGTACGACTATAACGTGTCTTAATATCCTATCGGCGGAATATATAACGTCAACGGCCCCACAAAATTCAATTTGCCAAAGGCCCCGCACCCTCCTAGCGCCGGGCCCTTCTTGAATCATAAGTACCGTTAAGTACCACCTTCATAAGCAGCCCAGATGGCCAAAATATCACCAGCTTAGGCGGCCCAAATGTCACCGGCCCACAAGGATTTTCCAGTTGCCCCGTTGCCGTTGGGCCAGTTAACCATTGCATCTAATATTATGGTACCAGAGGAGCATCGACAAGTTGGAGACTGTCCAGCTACGGGTAGCACACTTTGTCTCGAACCGCTACAGAACACAGAAACTCGTCCTCCCCCCCCCCCCCCCCCAACAGCAACGAGACTATGGCAGGCAGTCCCAGGCCATAACAGCAAGAACGCAGTACAGGAACTGCTCATTCCTGCCAAAGATAACCAGGGGCTTCCAAAAAGGAACAGTTGAGGCAGCAACACTTGACACATTTGCGTCTATTGTCTCCCGCCTTCCAACCCTAGTTCCTGATACCTTCGCTGAGTAGCCCATGCATCCTGTGAAATATCCTCTTCAATACCAGGCACAGAAACATCGCAAACCCGCTCTAGATAAATAGGAGACAGAATGATCAGTACTTTGATCTTGGGCCCTCAAGATATAGAAGAATAAAATTCATTTGTTTAACATTGGATAAATTACATATAATTTACATGTTCTGGGTCTTTTATTTGTGTATTCTTCTTAAATTTAAGAACACATCTAATTACGGCATTTAGACGCATCGTCCGTTAACTTTTAATGTCAAGAAGTGTGACATTGGTGCTAGTGTTTCATAACTAACAAGTCAGAGTAGTAACTATTTAATAGAACTTGAATTTAAAGGGTGATTTACCATTACAATTTCAAAAACTTTGTACTTTTTAAAATAACATTGGCATTATTCTGGATACAATATATTTTAAATCTTTAGTGACTTACCCTTAAGCCTTAAACTTAAGTTAGTATAATTATAAGTCTATAAGTATATAATAATATAGTGAATAGTCTAAATAGTGTATAGTAATAGTAACAACTTTATTAGCATACTAATTACTTAACTAGCATAAGGGAAGCGTTATCCACACAGCTCTGTGAATAATGTTTAGCGTTATCGGCAGACCAAAATTTGCGAAAAATGCAGAGCGTTATTGTTAGACAGAAATGTTCCCATAATTACGCACATTTCTAGAAATAATTAAGATCACATTCCAAGCCGGGGTAGGGGTGTAGTTTTAAGTAGTGTAGGAGTAGGATAGATCGATCGTTAATGAGAATGGCACAAACACATCTCAAAACCGAAGTCCGAAGCTACCGGTATGCACAAGTTAAATTAAAAAAATTTAATAGGCCTAACTATAGACTATAGCCTATATTGCCTATATATTGGATATAGGACAATTAATTGTGCCTACATCTGCTCTGTTAGGGGCCAACATATTCGACCTATAGAGTGTTACTAATAGATCCAGTCAAACCTCCTACTCCTAGACATAGCTAATTTTCTGGTATTTCATATTAAATGTTATAATACCAGTAATAAAAATGGTACTGGTATTCTTCATGTAGACTCACTTTCACCCACTGTAGAGATATCTTTAAATGATGTCAAAGCTTGATAGGATATCGTTTAGTTTTTTTTAAAGCACTATGATATATCACGTAGTCCAGAAATGTTCTGTCAGAAATAGTTGACATACCGTGCAACAGTGTTATGATGAAGAGAGGTGTCTCCATCAGGCGACCATGTGAGAGACGGGGAGTGGCATATAGGCCCTACATCGATAATAACAGAATCTAATCCTGTTTATGGCTAGTATTTTTTCCTGATCCTTGAGGGTGTCCCTAAGTCTACCCAGCTCTGGCCTTAGATGGGGAAAAGTAAAGCTGACTGGTTATTGCGCTGGCCATACACTCACACTTGTAAACGCTGCTTCAATTGCCCCAAGGGAACTTTACTTCCCAAAGACTCGCAATGCATCCTACGACCAACAGGGTTCCAATTAATTTTTGTATGCTTTTTTTTTTGTATTTAGACCCATAGTTACAACGGTAGCAGTATGGCTTTTTGTTTCAATTATCAACATTTTTTTTACAAGAGCTAAAATTGTTGATGTCAATGATATTGATATGTTTTAAGTACGGTACCGGTATGTTCATTTCATTGTCATCACTACATGTTATTTCAACTATTTCTGGAGCGGCATATTGTGTCCCTACTTATTATGATACTTATTAGAAAATAAAATGGAACAAATAAAACGTGACATATTTTTTTCAGCTAAACATTAATACACAACTCTGTGATATAAAATATTTGAATAAGTAAGTTATTAATAATTATTTGTTTATTAGAGAAAAACAAATGGATTCTAAAGTCTATGAGTGGAATTATACAAAGAAAATTAAACAGTCAAAAGAGCTAAAAGTATATCACAATGTGCAGTTAGAACAGCTGTATATGATTTAAACATGGTTTATGCGGCTCATCTGCATGTCCATGTTGTTTACATTTTTTTAACGAAACTTGAATGAACATTCTAACAAAATAGATTGAAACTTATAACATAAGTAACAAAACTATATGAAAATAATAATAAAACTGTGAACAGAATAAGAAAGCTATTTGAAGAATATTATTATAATATAACACTACGAAATAACCATTAAATATTTTTTTTAAAAATGTTATTTATAAAAATGAAGCTTCCCCGAGGGGGAATCGAATCTATGTCTGCCGGGTGACGGACGGAGATACTGACCACTACACTATCGAGGAGATGTTTATATACGAACTTTGTTTTTTATATTCATAATTTAATTCATCACATTCTGCGAATAATGTCGAGCGTTATCGGCAGACCGAAATCTGTGAATAACGGCGAGCGTTATCCACACAGCTCTGTGAATAATCACTTCGCTAGCATAATGCATAATTAATAAAATAATTAAATTTAAGTTAGTTAGGCTTGCCTAATTATTTTTTAAATCATTTTTTAATTCAATAAATATGTAAATATGAAATATTATTTTGGTACTTCAATTTTAATTCATGCAAAAATTCTCATAGGAGCCAAAATGGTCAATAAATTGATCGTGGGCCCTTAAGATATAGAAGAAGAATTATTATTATTCACACTTCCAATAAAACAAATGTCCTTTCTTTTGAATAAAAATGTTTAATTCAACGCAAAAATTATTGTACATTATATTCACATTTCCATTAAATAACTTCACACTTCCAATAAAACAAATGTTCTTTTGCATTAAAACATATTTACTTCTTTTAAATTCCTCCGCTACTGTGGTGGCCAAATTTGAACAATATTGTCTAGAGTGTCGTTGAATACATTGAAACCATTTGCTGTAACACGCCGATGTAAAATTAACCCAAACATATAAGAATCGAGCATATGTCTGTGTCTGCCAGTGTTTCTCTCTTTTGCCAATTACCACGTATGTTCGATGCGTTGAGTATTGGCATTCCGGTGGTTGTTAGCACATCGTCTGAAAGCATGTATAATACCGTGTTGTTGTAGAAACAAGATACAACTGACTTCATTGTGAACTAATGCAGAAATTTTCAAAGAATTCATGGTGTCGACAGAAGCCATTGTATTTATTAACAATAACTGCATATACATAGAATAGCAGTAATGATAATTTTTGCGGTGAATTAAAATTGAAGTACCATTATTTTTTATATTTATCTATTTACATTACCTCCTTAGTAGACATTAGTAACTAATGACTAAGACTAATGTAAATAAACTATAAACAGTAATTATTTAGTCATTAATTTAATCTAAGTCTAATACATAAGTGTTAGTATTAGTTTGACCTATTCAAATTCTATTTACAATACCTGGTTAATAGTTAATTTCATATTTTGTTAAATTGAATGAATGAATTAATCAGTTAATCTTATCTGGTGATTTCTAATAATATAATATAATATCATTTAGTATGATTTTTATAGTGTCAAAAAATAACTTAGCCTGATTGGGCGGTAAATTTTGGGTTAACGGTAGGGGTTTTGCCAAGATTTGTCTCACCCTAAGCGCAGTGGCGTCACTTTGGGGAATCCCAACACTGAACTTAGGGTGAATAGACCTATTAATTATAGGACCCGAACAATATCTTATAACATTCCTGTTCTTTACTGAGCATTACTCCTGTCATAAAAGATACTGTTAATATGAACTATATTAAAGTGAAATTTTCCATTAATTTGTTTTAAAATTCAACTTACACTTTTCAAAAGAAAGGAATAAAGAAGCACATCCTTGCTGATATCCAAAGACCCAACACCAGTGAAAGAAATGACGCGCGCCAAAGGTGCTGTATTTGATTAGTTGAAAATCGAAGCAATTGTATGTTAAAACTTCGGAAACAAAAAGGAGACTACTGCTTAAATTGCATTTGGAATGCTTTTCTAGGGACTGGGGAAGGGAGACCCTAAACACCTCCCCCTAGTTTAAATACCAAAATAACAAACAAAGAGATCCTCTGGGGAGGGACCAGAACCCCTCCCCCAGTTTCAAAAAGGAAAAAAAACCTTGCATTATGTGACTACAAACATCAAAATCTGTTTAGTACGGCGCTGTAGATGGACGTTGACCCGGGAGAACCTCCATGACCTATATACTGTGGAACACATGGCCGGCCTTACCGCTAACCCAAAATCAACTTATTGGGCATTGGCATTTTCATTTACTATTACTAATAGGCACTTCGAGAAAAGCAAGGGAGACTACTTCAAAATTGGTATGGGAAATGGGTGTCGGCGCAGGAGAATCTGAGTTTTAATTTTTGGACTATGGTGCTTTTACATTAATGAAAGGACTATTTTGTCATACAAATTGTGGTATTCTTCCACATGTTAATAATAGGGGACATCTTGACCTACATCCCAACTTACTGTTGTGCCTTTTTGATTAACCTTAATTTTGAAAATTCATAGGATATATTAGGCATCTTTCCCTCAAAAATTTTTGAAGAAATTAAAAGAACATGTTTTTCAATTCATAACAAATACTGAAAAGCATTATATATTGATGTATGTGTGTGCCAATTCTCATTGATATAGGTCGTGTCTGACGTTGGTTAGGCTCGTCCCAGTAACCTGCGTTATCATAAGGTCGCTCTGCCCTATTTAGACCACGCCCCCATTTTAAGTATTTACATCAAAATGTTTAATAACTTGTGTTTTAGACCTTACATAGTAAGAGGTCGACATCAGATCACTATGGCCTTCTCTGCCACCCTTGGGATAAACATTATACTAAGTTTTGGTTGAAGCAGAAAAAAACCTAATTAGCTATGTATTGTTCACCAAGATTAAAAAATTGCAGATTAGCAGATAATTTTGCACTATCAAAAGTATGTTTTAAGGCAATAAAATGAGCAACTGAGAAACAGATATTGAATTTCCTATTACGATGAAAATGATGCCTCAAAAATTACAGTTGTGCAAAATTTTACAACTGTGTTGCCAATGTACAATAATTATTGCATTTCATATTTATTTTGTTCACCTTACTTTTAGGTGTGACATAAGTTTGTAGCATCACTATGAATAATAAAATACTTTTAAAAAAAATGATATGCAAAATTGCATGGGCTGGAAATTCAAATCAGGTCAAACACATGGCTTGCTAGTACCTGATTAGACCACTGAATGGCTTCATTTTTACACTTCATGATTTCATTTAATACAAAAGTGTAGTTTTCTGACAATGTCATAGGATTTTTGCATTATACTTATCAATTACAATAGACCTATTAGTTTTACAATAAAAATATAATAAGTTATAAGTCAGTGCGCAAAAAATAATCCCCAAATTCTATTCTACTTGTGGTCAATTCCACTTTCCCTTCCCACAGAAGGGCTTTTTGGTATTAACTTATGTTATGTCTTCTTCATTAACTTTTACCGACATCTTTGAAACAACTTCTACTTAAGAAAACTTTTAATCACCATTTTTCTATTTATTTTCAGATTAATGATCCCCAATGAGTAATAATGGATAAATTTGTTGGATTCTTTCGCCGAAATGCTGTTACTGTCACTTGTGGAAGTATACTTGTTGCTGTTCATTACATCTGGTACCAAATGCAATACGATTCTGATTTTGTGCCAAAAGATTTGCAAAAGGACAATATTAGTTTAGGCGTCATTCATCTTTCAAGGCCAAAATCTAAAACTGCCAATATTAGTGAAGAATCATAAAAAAAAACAACAACTAACTGTTGCTTGGGGGAAAGATTGCACTGATTTAAATAAAATTTGCAAAATGAATAAAAAACCTCTGCAGTAAGTATATGTACATATTGATTTGACAAATATTAAGTCAGTGACATAATTCTTTTACAATAACTAAATTTGAAATTTTGGTATATGTTACTTCTACATCTGAGGGCATCCATAAATTATATTTAAAAAATTGGAGTAGGAGGGGTGTCGTAGAAACTTGCTGGTCAGAATGTTAGTATAGGGCGGACAGTTGCAATAACATTGCAGGTATGGAACAGGGACAATGTTCAAGTACCGATGAAAATAAGACAATAAAAGCAGCTTGAGATATTGAAAATAGCAGTTTCTATGTTTCCTAAACAATGCAAAATTTTTTGACTTAATTGGTTAGGGAGGGGATCCTTGAAAGTTTGACGGTTTTGAAAAGAGAGGGGGGGGGGGGATTGGGGTGTTAAAAATGGCATAAAAATTATGGGTGTATGTAATTGTAATTAATAATAATAATAATAAAGTTTATTTAAAAAAAACACTTCATCCCCAAAGGCTCGAAGCGCGGTACAAAGTCAAGAAAAAACAAAAGCGGTACAAAGTCAACAAAAAACAAATCTATAATTTACCACATTTAAAACAAACGCAACACTACAAAAACTAATTACAAGCATACAGTGTCAAAGTCTTTCTAGCCATTTCAACCATAAGCAACACAGCCAATATGCATTAACTGGAAAATAAGGTAGACAATCATCCCAGAAGGTGTTTGCGAAATAGATGTGTCTTTAAATCGGTTTTAAAGGACTCCAGTGTCTGGTTGTTTCTGAGATCGACAGGAAGGGCGTTCCAAATTGTTGGACCAGCAAATGCGAAAGTGCGCTTTCCATAAGTCTCAAGGAAAACACGTGGTGTCGAGAGTTTGCCACTATCGGATGAGTGGAGTCGTCTAGTGGGTACATAAGGCGTCAGCAGCTCTTTTAGATAGGACGGCGCCAGGTCATGTAAGCAGCGGTAGCACAAAGTTGCGATTTTGTACTCTATGCGAGCACGCACCGGCAGCCAGTGCAACTCTCTCAGAAGTGTTTTTGCATGGTCGAACTTGCATTTGCGGAGAACAATGCGAGCCGCATTATTTGAATTTTATCCAGGAGCGTAGCTGGAAGACCCACCATGAGAGCATTGCGTGATAGCACAAATGCAGACATCAGCCTCTTTGTTGCATCAATTGTTAGGAAGGGCCTGATGTGACCAATCCTGCGCAGCTCCAGAAAAATCGCCTTGCATAGCATGTTAATATGACTTTCAAAAGCTAGTCTTCTATCTAGGCAGACACCCGGGTACCGCACTGTTTGAGCTAACTCAATACGCACACCTGAGAGAGTAATTGATGTCGTGTTATTTGCAGATTTTTGCTTCTGAGCGGTCGCGATGGGAAGTAGCTCAGTCTTATCATCATTCAATTTGAGCTTGTTTATGGTCATCCAGTGCTTAACCGACTCCATTGTCTTCTGTGTCATACTGAGCAGCTGAGGGAACTGAGAAGGGATCACAGATTGATGAAGTTGTGTATCATCCACGAACATGGTATACAACATGTCAAACTGCCTGATCTCTGCACCCAGGGGCTGAATGAGTGAAAAGCACCGGGCCTAGGACCGAGCCCTGGGGTACTCCGAATTCGATATTAGATTTCCTCAAGGTCAAGCCATTTGAAATAACTGACTGGACCCGATTAGTCAGATACGATCGGAACCAACACAAGACGGTATCAGTGAGACCGAACTTTTGTTGCAGACGCTGGAGCAGGATGCCGTGGTCGAGCGTATCGAAAGCTGCCGATAAATCGAGTAAAGACAAAATCGATACCTGGCCCTCATCACAAGACGACAGAAGGTCGTTCACCACGCGCAATAGGGCTGTCTCAGTAGAGTGATGCGCCCTGTATGCTGACTAGAATGGTTCAAACGAGTCAAACTGAGTGAGGTGATCCAGGAGTTGGTGGAGAACGACTTTTTCTAAGATTTTAGAAATAAATGGTAGATTTGAGATGGGGCGATAATTTTCCATCACATTAATAATAATAAGGAGTCTTATATAGCGCTGTACCGCAGCCTAGGGCTGGGCTCACCGCGCTGTCCATAAAAATTTTATCAAAAGAGACATAATCATGACATTAAAATAAAATACATTCATGAAATAAGGAACAGCAAAAAAAAAAAAAATTAATGGCTGCTCAACCTGACAATGAATGAGTAAGCTGAATTTGTGACAGAAAATTAAAGATAAAACAATAGAAGATTTAAAGGCTCGAGCACGTAATCACTTAATACAATGGTTGGCAATGTCCATAAAAATTTTATCAAAAGAGACATAATCATGACATTAAAATAAAATACATTCATGAAATAAGGAACAGCAAAAAAAAAAAAAAATTAATGGCTGCTCAACCTGACAATGAATGAGTAAGCTGAATTTGTGACAGAAAATTAAAGATAAAACAATAGAAGATTTAAAGGCTCGAGCACGTAATCACTTAATACAGTGGTTGGCAACTCGCAGCTATTCAAGGGAATATATGCAGCTCATTCTTTTTTTTTTTTAAAACCCATGACAGTTAAACAGTCCGTCCCTACTTGGAGCTCTCAAAATATTTACTGAGTAGTTATAATTTATAAAAATAGCTCCTTAATCAAAAAAGATTGCCAACCCTGAATTTTTTTTTTTTACTAGAAAAAGTTAGGTAAACAGAAATATAAAAGAAATTACAGTTTTTAGTCCATTTTTTAATAAGCGAGTGACTTCAACAAACTAGAGGCCCAATATCCTCTTTCTGCATCCTGAGCCACTTTACATCACTAACTTAATTACTACTAAAAATAATATGAAGAAGTGTTTTAGCTGTGACATATATCTAAGAAATGAAATACTTAAAATTAAAATGAATCCTCTTGTTTTCACAGAAAGCCTGCAGCATTTTTTCGTTTAGCCAGTTGGTGTAACAAAAATAAGTTTTTATCACTTGTAATGTGCATGAGTGGAGCCATAGTTATTAGTTATTTAATCCCAAAAGACGTTGCACCAACTGCAAGTGAAAGAGTGAAATGGAGACAGGAAAGGGTGGATCTAGATTTGAAAAAAGAAAACTAGTTTGTGTGTGCGTAATGTGTGGTAAGTACCCATTCTGTTTATTAAGTATTAATCTTTGTTTATTAATGCCAGTAGTTATTGTGACTGAAATAAAATTAAAATTTTGACCTCTTCATGTTGTTCTGAAAGTCTGTTTGAGTTGTTTAAAAGTAAAATAAATTAATGGTAAAACTAATATAATGTTTGTTTTTATCATTTTTTAAAAAGTGAATTCTCTTTGCCAACTTTGAAGTGTGCTTTCTTTGTTTGTTTGATTTTTTTACTGTTATTTTTACTACACCACAGTACATTTAACTTTTCTATTAAAATATTTCAACCATTTGAAATTGTAACAAGTGAACAAGAATTTACAAAAACATATTTGAGCCCCCCTCAGTTACAATAAATGTTTACAAAAAAGTAAAAATTATTAGTTATTTCTAGTTTTTGTGGAAAATAATAATTGGTGGTAGTCCTATTTATGTGACATTTTAAGTATTATACTGTATACATTTCTTTTAATGTAATGGAAACCATTCAGTAGTTATTTATTATACCACTTTCAGTTGTTCAGCTTATTAAAAATGTCATGTCTCTGCTGAAGGTTGATGATCTTACAAATGGCTCATATAGAGAAACTTCAGATGTCCAGTTTGGTGTTGAATGGCGCAAGTTCTCCTGAATCCCAGCAAGCAATAGACAAACTTTTGAAACTTGTGACATCTTGTGCTGGACCAAGAGGTAAATTTCACCTCCTACGCAACAACTGTGGAGGTCATGTGACCTGTACATCCTCATGTTCCCGCCTTCTGCCTGCTTTATCTATTACACGGACTGAGGTCAAACTGATTATCAGTTCTGTACAGGCTCATCTGAAACAGCACCACGACTGCGGACTTTTCATGGCTTGCGTTTCTCTACATCTCATTCGGTCTTCTGTTGGAAAAGGAATCCATGTTCCAACATTTAGTTCTTTGTATGAGCTGTTTGTAAAACAATTGTGTGACTATTTGGCATCACCACACTGTACCGTGTGTGTGACAGCAGACTTCACTGACCTACAAGTGTTACTAGCATATGTAAGAAGCATTATTTTATCCAAATCATTTCTGACTCTGAATGAGAAGACATGTGATAGTCTGTGTCAGTTGATTGTGTCAGCTTTTGTTGAAACCATACCAGAAGATTCACGAAAGATTCGTCATTCTGACGGGATTCAGATTTTAGGAATAGACAAAATGCATGTGAGAAATAGCCGATTTGTTCAAGGGCTTCTACTGGAATATCCTGAAATGCCTGTGATTCAAGGAAGTGTGCCTTTAAATCTAAAAACGTTGACAATGAAGGAAGTTGATGGCCGAGAGTGCAACCTACAACCAGATAATTATGTTAAAGTGGCTTTGATGACATGTTCTCTGTCTGGGGATGCAGAAGAAATTATTGATGCAAACTATGAAGTGGAGAAAGATGTGTATGAAAATCTGGATCATATGATTTTGAACAAGATGGAAAGTATGTTTGAAGAGTTTGACAAATACGATGTGGGCTTGGTTCTCTGCCAGAAAGTGATTCACCCCAAGCTCAAGGGTAGACTGAGGACCATGGGTATACTATTTGTTGAACGCCTTGGTTCACATATGATTCCTTACCTACAAGACCTTACAGGTAACTAAAGTCAATTAAATTGTGTGGGTGTTGGTGGTAGGTTTGGCAATTTACCCATAAAACCGAAATGATGATTAACTATAGAGCGTGAATTGCTGTACACCCTATTCCAATGAAAAGTGTTGGCAAAATAAATAACAAGGAAATAAAATAAGGAAAGGGCATCAGCCATTTGAAGCTTACAAGAAGTTTAAAAATGTATTTACATAACTGGACCTATCAATTCCAAGTATATTAAAAGTAAATACCTTATGTCATTTTTTTATAACTTTTTGAAAATGGTAATGGAACATGCAGTTTAAAACAAATAATTCTAAATTGTAATAATTTTTTGTTAAATAGGTCAGTAAGCAAGTGATATCTTTTTAGAGTCTCCTCCTTCTTTGACTTTTTCAACTCCCAGTGGAGCTTAGGTCACTAATAACAATATCTTTCCACTCCTTGCAATCTTCTCTAACTCTTCCCAAATCTTAAGTACATCCTTGTCCATCCCCTCTCTCTCCCCCCCCCCCTTTTTTTTTATGTCTTACCTGTCCTCTTTATCCTTGCTCTTTATGGATGGAAAAAATAATTTTTTTTTTATTTTTCAACTCCCAGTGGAGCTTAGGTCACTAATAAAAATATCTTTCCACTCCTTGCAATCTTCTCTAACTCTTCCCAAATCTTAAGTACTTCCTTTTCCATCCCCTCTCTCTCCCCCCCCCCCTTTTTTTTTATGTCTTACCTGTCCTCTTTATCCTTGCTCTTTATGGATGGAAAAAATAATTTTTTTTTTTTTTCCTGTTGCAGGTGCAAATTGTATTCGATCTTTTGTTGTGTCAACAAATTTCAGCGAATTTTTTGGTCGGGTCCAGTCTGTCCAACATATCATTGAATGTGATAAGAGTTATATACAGTTAACCCAGCCAAAATCTTCAGTTGGAACTCTGGTCCTATGTGAACTTTGGGAGGAAAGACTTTTGGAGTTGAAGGTATTCATTGAGATAGAAATTCATTGATTTATCTTTGTGCAATTGAATATTCTATTTTGAAATATCTTAAGGCTGAAATTAGACAGAGATTGGGCACTAAGGAAGGGTATGTTACTCTTGGAATCAAATCGAGCACCTGCAAAAGAATTTTAAAAAATTTTCAGTGCCATGAAAGAAACTACAGTGATTAATTACATTTTAAAATCTCCAGAGTAGCGTTAGGTCAGCTCTTTCTGGCCTTCTTTCACTTTCTAGAGAACCAAGACTTCTTGCTGGAGGAGGGTGCTGGCAGATTCACTGCTCCTATCATCTCAACATGATGGTGAGTATTTACATTGATTGCTAGTTATCATTACTGTATATTGTTAATACATAGCTCTGGGTGTGTGTGTGTGTGTCTGGAGTGGGTGAGGGGGTTGGGGGCTCTGGATTGTTTCTCTTAGATATGAAAACAACAAAGATGTTCACTATTGAGATGGGATGTACAGGCAGTCAGTTGTTTGAGATGGGATGTACAGGCAGTCAGTTGTTTGAGATGGGATGTACAGGCAGTCAGTTGTTTGAGATGGGATGTACAGGCAGTCAGTTGTTTGAGATGGGATGTACAGGCAGTTTTGTTGTTGTGAATTTGGCCTATTATAATTGTGATTAAAATTTTTATCTCTGCAAAGATCATTGAAATGTTTTTTTAGGACGTGTATTTTCTTGTTATCCTCAGGTTCTTAACAGACTGCATCAATTATCGAAGGAAAAAAACTGTTCAGAGGCCAGTATAATCTCTGCTTTGACCACATTTAGATCCAGCCTTCACCACTGGGTGCATTCTTTGGGAGCAGCACAACATGACCTGGCAGTGGATCCATTATTTCATCACTGCTGGGTTCTGCCTCCGGTGGATGACAATAGCTCTGATACTGTAACATGCTGCTGTGGGTTGAAGTCAGCTCCCCAAGAACTAGTGTCAGAGTTTGAATTAATCTCTCATACACCCCCTCTCTATCTGAAAGAATCTAAAGATACACATGTAATAGATAATGGTGTGTCTTGTAGAACTATCTTAGATCATTTTACAGCATCCACTCAGGCCCTCAGTAAAGGTGTTTTTATTGCTAACTTGGTGTCATCCATTGACAAATTCATAATTGATAAAAATTAACTATCATAAACCTTTGTGAGAAGGTTTATTAGGAAATTATGCAAGGAATGCATTTTTACTCCTAAAATATAAGAATTGTTTCATAGTTTAAATTAACTTATATAAAACTCATAAATTATCTTATATAAAACTCATTTGTTTCATTTATTGTAGGTGTAAACATAAGAATAGGAGCATTTTAATATTTCTGTCTGAAATTTGGTATATTGTAATTTTAAAAATAACAACCTGAGTTTATTATAATGTGTATAGTATTGTGAAGATTTTATTTTCCTGGTAGAGCCTTTTCATTTTTGCAGGTTTTATTAAATTTTAATTTGTTTCCTGCTCAGTTTCTCAGACAGAATTTTTATTTTTTGTTCCTATAAAAGTGATGCACTATTATAGAAAGTCAAAATGAAATTGTTGCTCTAAATTTATTTATAGTTCTGATTTGAATCAAATGCCTTGTAAAATGTATGAAAAGGTATGTGCTGTTGATCATAACTTGGGATGAATAAAATTAATCTGTCCTAAATGATGAGTGATTGAATTGAAAAAGAGATTAAGTAATGTTTAAGAAGTAATCTCGTCAAAACGTGGTCGTATGTTTTAAAGGTATTAAGGGGGAGAGGCTGCAATCAGTTTAAGTAAAAGGAAATTAGTGAAACAAAGTATTGTAAAACCTGAATAAAGGACAATATTCCTCTTGCTGTTCTCTCAGATACTACATTGCAGCTAAGCGTTTTTTAGTGTTGTTTGGTCGCTGAAGAAGGCTTCTGGCCGACACTTTCAATGTTTTGTTATGTCCTTTTTTCCCCCAGATTTTCCTATACTTTTTTCACTCATTTCCTTTGTATTAAACATTTTTAAGTTTCCTGATTTTAGAAATCGAAATGCTCAAAGATTTCTTTAAAAATCTAACTTTTCTGACTTGATAATTATCAAATGGGGACAAGCATTCCATGGTTTGGAAGGCTGGTTTTAGACTCGGGACAAACATATATACGGTGAAGGTTTGTGTCTGAGCCAAGCCAAAATATTAACTGGAAATTCAGTCTTGTCAACAAACATGACCCAGACTCAAAAGTCTAATAACATAGACGTCACTTCCACGGAAGCTTATCTATAAGCTAAGTTGCATAATATAAATGATCAGTGGAGTGGTAGCAACAAAAATAATAAATAATAGTTTCATTTATTATACTATACACTGCATAATTCATGAAAAGCTACATATGTATTGTAGAACATCACAATAGTTTATTATAACACAGTTTTCACAGCTTGCGAGAGAAAAATAAATATAAAAGGCTGTTGCTAATTAAATTACAAAAAGTAGTATAAAGATGGGACTAAATTAGTAGCATGGGTATTGAGATCATGCGGTGGGTTCTGGGAAGGATAGAAAAGTGAGCAGTGTTTTTGTAAGGGTGGTGAAAGACAGTGGAATGTTCATTACTGTATTTGAAAAGAAAAAATGTATTCTACTTGTACTGTCTACAATACAGGTTTGTCAAGATATTTAGAAACATAATGGAAGGGAAATAAACTTAACTGCTTTTTATATGATCATTAAGACAAATCATGTGTTCTGTACATTACAAATTACATGTAAACATTGTATTCAATGTTGATTACTAATTTAAAATCATAAAAAAATACTACATTGTTCCGAGTATAGGTCCCTCCTGATTATAAGCAGCAGCCTTAAAGTTTGTGCTATTTTACAAGCATTTCATTATGTAAATCTTTTGTTGTTGCAAAATCAGGTCTGTTGGCAGCACCCTTTAGTTTTAAGACTTACATTAGGGGGAAAAAAGTTCAGCCTACACTCTGAACAATAGGGTAAATTAAACAGAAAACTCATAATACATGTACCATATATCAAAATATGATATTCAAGACAGCTTCTAAATATTTTTCATAAGGAAAAAAAATTCCATTAAATGTATTGTTTGAGTCAATATGTACTTTGTTTGTCCTCACCCCACCATCACCTATAAACTGTGGGGTTAATCAAAAACACTCTATTAACAACTGCTTCAATGTATATTCAAAACTGTGATCAGAAAGACGCTAAAAATATATCTATTATTTTCTGTATTTTTAAAATTGGCAGTGAACAAATTAAGGAACATGATTGTAATTATGCAGGTTATGAGCATTTTACTGTTAAGCTCCATCTCAGAATTATTCTGTCATTTATTTATGCTTGTTCCATGATTGGCAACTGATATGAATTAAGTTGCACCTTAGCTCTGACAATGGTTTTCTTTACTTTATGTAAACATTTTACCAGCAACAAGTTATAGATTCTTAAAAAAAAAAAAAAGTTTCAATTATCAGAACTTTCAGCTATACTACTGTTACAAAAAATATTTATAGCATTCAAGTACATTTGAACTTAAGATAACCTCCAAATCCATGCAAAAGTAGGCCACAGCGCTATGTAATATAATGATATAAATGTGACTATAAAAAAGCATCTAAAGTTTAATTAGCAAATATTTACACATGCATTTTCTATTCATAAAACAATTGTAACAATGGGCTACATTCAATATTGGCATCTGGTATTGGTATAGAATTTTACTTGATATAGGTACACCACAAAATAGTGTACAGACAAACTTCAATAAAACCCATAGCATTGTCAAATGCAATCAAGTTAAAATTGCTTGAGATATCTGTGTATCCACTATCCACAAGAATAACCATGTTTCTTTAATTTGAAACAAGATCTGTAAAGTCCAATGGCATGATTCAATAAAACTCACAAATTATTGTTACACTCTATGACATGTACTTTGATTACTTTTAGAATACTTTTTTACTGAAATCCATTGGTAAGAACAACCAACCACCCCCTAACCCCTCTCAAAATATATGAGATAAAGGATTCTTAAATTTCCTTCTGCTAACTGTTGTATACAAGAGAGAAACTCCACTTATGTTGACAGTCTTGACAAGAACGGTAAATACTGGAGCAAGCACAAGGTTCTCGTTACCAAATTTGAATGTGAATTGAAACACAATCTGTTGCTTTCATGACTGACCATTGATGTAAATATTACAAATAGTTATCAACTGAAAACAGTAATTTAAAGTGGGACTAGTCTTATTTTATCCTAAGTGACTCTTAATATAAGTTATAATTTCTTCATCTGATATACTCATTTATTTCCTTGAGCTAAATGCATGATCACCCGCAGTTATATACATTTAACTAAATCTTAGGCATATGTTAAAATATCAATTATTACACAACTTTCGCAGCAATTAATTGTCCCTAAAACATACAACTGTAGACCACCATAACTTTCATGAAGTGCACATGCAACAATAGCACAACCAAATAGGGAGTCTGAAATTATCTTTGCATGAATACTATAATCAAACATACAAAAATAAACATTTAATTCTTAGCTGTGTACAACACTGGACATATTCAGGCACGGCATGAACGGAAACTTACAACATTGCTGAATATGACAACTTAAAATGATGAACAATACTTTCAAGTAATTGAATGCCAAGGTCAGTCCAGTCATCTGCCATAATTAAAAAGCTTTCACTGACAGTGAACTCAAGGTAACCTCCAACACAGTTATGAATCTCAAATTTTGCTCCATAATTTCATTACATTACACATTCCAATGTATCCCTCGTTAACTCTTATATATATATTTTTTTTAAAAAAAAGCTTGTTGGTGCAATCTGACACACCATTGTATCCAAAGACGGTTAGGTTGGTGATCACATTATGGAACATAACTACAGAAAACACTTATTATCACTGACACAGTCCATTCTGCATTTAAGATTGTTCAATTAAAATAGTATCACAGTAGCCTATATCGTACACAATCTTATATTAATATTTATTGAACACATGTTCACTCATGTTTATTTCAATCGAAACATAAAACCCCATCAAGACTAATTTAGTTTACTGTCTCACTCATGTTACAAGATCATTAAGAAATTTAAGGTATGGAGGGAACTGTGACCCTCCATTACCTTTTATGTTTAGTTTAGCACATGGGTGTGTAGATGTATAAACACTTCATTGAAATTGAATATAATTTTTTAAGCTTAAGAACTTTTAACCCCAAAATTCTAACAGGTTTTTAAAATAAAATTCTCTCAAAAATCTTTTTAAAACTTTCAAAAACTGTTGGCACTATTTATAGTCAGATCAAGCCAGTTAACTCAATATATAGTTGAAATGAAATGTAATGTATGAAAGAGAAAGTTTAATTAAATATATTGATGAAAACTATAAGCCAATACAACCACACATTTGTCAACTTGAAACGTAGACAGTGCTGAACTAATTAGAACTGTATCAGTGGCAATCTGTTGTAAAAGAAATATTACAAAATTAGATTGATTTCCTTTGGGGAAAGAGAAAATGACAATATTAGATTGTGTTTCTTTGAGATAATAGAAATATCACAATATGAGAGAGTGTTTCTTTGGGATAAGAGAAATCTTACAATATTAGATTGAGTTTCTTTGGGATAAGATAAATATTACAAAAACAGATTGTTTCTTTGGGATAAGAGAAATATTACAATGTTAAATTGTGTTTCTTTGGGATGAAAATCTAGATCAGGGGCTTTTAACCTTCCCTATATTATCACTCACTTAAACTCTTGGACACACAAATCAATCCTTGTGAAAGACTAATGGTTGTTAAGGTGAGTAGCAGTCTTCAAACTAATATTTTTTTTAGATTAGATGGATTGTAGTTAAAGGGCCATCTTTAATTCTCATCTCAAATTAACCTGATACTTTGACCTATAAAATGGACACTTTGTAAGACTTAAATGATTTTAACAATTTCCACACCTCTCTTTTGCTATTGTCCGTTGTTGGTGTATATGAGCATTTGAATCAACCACTCACTACTCTACAAGTAGGTCTATTGAATAATAGATTTTTCAAATATTGCTTTCACTAATTGAATAAATTTTTTAAACTTTTAGGCTTCTATTTTCAAATTTAAAAAAATAATACAAATTAATATATTTTCTGACATTTCATTGATGTTGAAGGATTTAAACGAAAATGGCTTAGGCTAAGCGATAGACAACTTCTACTGTCAATAAATAGGCTGATTTAACACGTGTTATCTGCCCTAGATCTTCGTGTGTTGTACATTAAATTCCATCCTCTTTTTCATTTTTTTTTTTTTTTTTTTAGTAGTAGGCCTAAGTCAATGGCGCGATGTGACTGATCCCGACGGTTGCGTAGTGTTTGTTTATCAAGTCGTGTCACGTGTACTTGCTGCCGATTCTCTCCAGGATCCCGACGGTTGCGTAGTGTTTGTTTATCAAGTCGTGTCACGTGTACTTGCTGCAGATTCTCTCCAGGATGTTGGACATTGTCAGGTCGGCGTCCTCTGTGCACTGGATCTCGGCGTGGATCCCTCTCATCTTATTTCGCAGGGCCTGCTTGCTGCTGGTGTAGATCATCTTCTGTTTGATGGTGGCCGTGTCAGGACTCCTGCGCCACAGAATGCAGACGTGTTAAAAGTATCATGGACTCTTTAGAAATGAATACGCAATACGGATTTAAATGTAAGGGGGGAAAAAAAAACCCACCAAAACAACAACCTTTATTGTTGACAAGGGGGAAACAAATCCCACGTCATTTTCAAAACCCTGTTAGTGTTAGTAACCAAAAAGGCTAACAACTCCGGTATAAATTTGGCTTCGTAACATTTTCCCTTTGTATGAAAAAAATAAATAAATAAATAAAATGCATATGCTGGACATATAGGAAAGTAATTTTTTGTAAATGTAAAATTTGGCACCCCGATACATTTAGGCACAAACTTAAGTAACTTGAGTCTAAAAGGCTGTGCACATCATAGGCGTGTCCAGTGACGCCACTACCGCCCTTAAGGGTCACACCATGAGCCGTCGCATGACTTTTGAAGGCCCCCCCCCCCCTGTCACTTTTCGCTTTTGCAGCCACCTGCATTCAAGTTGACGGTTAATCTCCCCCCCCCCCCNNNNCCCCCCCCCCAGCATCGCATCTTTAAATCTATGTTACCCATGCAGCCGCGGGGCGGGGGGGGGGGTAGCAGGGCCCACGCGAAGGCTCTGGTCACACCCTAACAATAATAAGCAAATGGTCTAAATGATAATAAATTATGCTTTCCCAGGGGAAATTTTGTACGAAGCTGTTAACTTTAGTGAATTATTTTATTCTCAGCTCTTCTTGCAAGTCACGTTTGACCACAATTTCCGCTACACAAAACTGAAGTGTCATAAGTGATTACATCTTCCTGATAACTTCCTTGTACTTTAATTGATATCAAACTCTTTATTTACCGTGCCGTACACAGAGAATTAACACTAACTGTTCAGCCTGTAAATATATATAAATATATAATAATAATAATAATAATAAAGTTCATTTCAAAAACACGCTTCATCCCCAAAGGCTCGAAGCGCGGTACAAAGTCAACGAAATACAAATCTATAATTTACCACATTTAAAACAAAAGCAACACTCCAAAAACTAATTACTAGCATACAATTGCAAAGTCTTTCTAGCCATTTCAACCCCAAGCAACACAGCCATTATATATATATATATATATATAGGCCTATATTTTAACTTAAGCTTATTCTACCCTTTTGACCTACAGGATGATACTGGCGTGCAGTGTCAGAGCTTTTAACATAAACATATGTTGAATTCTGTATCGCCTAAACACAGAACTTACATTAGGAGGAGTTGCTCGACTCCTGGGACGGCATTGTTGAGAGAGATGTTAAGACAAATATTTTTACATTTTGAATTAAAAAAAAAAAAAAATTAAACCAAACTCTCTGGGCCTTTATGAAAGAAATGCCGGACCACAGGAAGCCGCTGCAGTACACAAGTTTTGTTGCTAATTATTTTTATTTTTTAATAAACATATGTTTATTTCTGTATCGACTAAACACAGAACTTACATTAGGAGGAGTTTCTCGACTCCTGGGACGGCATTGTTGAGAGAGATGTTAAGACAAATATTTTTACATTTTGAATTAAAAAAAAAAAAAAAATTAAACCCAACTCTCTGGGCCTTTATGAAAGAAATGCCGGACCAGAGGAAGCCGCTGCAGTACACAAGTTTTGTTGCTAATTATTTTTATTTTTTTCATGTTCATTTGATCATCTGATTCATCTCTCACGACGACATCCCACCTCAAAGCTTTTTTGGACTGTACGCAGCAGGGGCGTAGAAATGTGCCTTTGTGCCATTAGTTGAATAGGATTTCCAAATCGAAAAAAAAAGTCTTATCGTCTACATATTTTCATTCATAAGAAAGCAATTATTATGTAGCATACAACACTACTAGTAAGTTTCCGCCATTTCCTGGAAATTAAATTTATGGGACGAATGTATAACATAACAAAAAAAAAAAACTAGATTTTTCGCTAATTAATGTCAAATTTTCAAACAAATTCAGAACCATTCGCTTTAGTTTTTCCACCAAGAAGACTTTACAAATATACATTAGAAAAATGGAGAAATAAAAAAAAGGGATTTCAAGAGTTTTCTAATGGCCAAAATGATAATATCATTATTTACTATATTATACATTAAACTGCTATTTATTTAGAAAGTGAAATCTTATTATTTATTGATAAGAAATATTTGTTTAGTCCAGCTTGGATGTAACAGTTGTCCACTTAACCAAAGTAACAACACCAAGTTGACCCCGCCGAGTGCACCTCAACAAGCGTAGCCCACCAAGGCGGCCAAAGTTAACCACAACTTTGCCACACTAAGTTAACTCCACCAACCACATCAAGCTAACCATTACAAGCTTTAAAAAAAATGTAAACACATGCTAGGCTTCAGGCTAGGTCGCCGTGATTATCCTGGGGAAACACTCATTAACCGGTTTTTAAGTGAAAACTGAGTACTTCCGGTTTCAGGGCCTTGCTGATAGAGATCTTTATCCCAAGTGAGATGTAACTGAAAGAATTGAAAGACCCACATGCCCACCAGCCACTATCTAGCAAGCGTGTCTCGTCACTGAACAGAGGCGGGGCCCCCCAAAATAAAATCACTGGATCCTTAATTATTGTACAGGCGTAGGAGATCACTTACGGGACATCTCAATTAAACAAACCCCCTTAAGGCATGCCTTTTGGTATAAATCCTTTTCCCAATGAAATATATATCGAGCGATGGAAGTTGGGCTGAAAATTTGAAGGGAAAAAAAAATGCATACAATTAACGCACTTTATAAGAATCCAAATTAGTGCCCCTCCACCCCCTCCCCCCCCCCCAAGGCTCGCAACCTCACATTTTTTTCACGCCCCTGAAATAATATATAACTACCCACCCGTTTTCCCACCGCATTTTTATTGTACCACCTATTTCAAAAAAACAAAAAA